CCCTTCCCTCCCCACCAAAACAGCTCTCTCTCTCGGTGCTGGTTAAATGGGGATTGGTGTCTTGAGGACACTGGGGTGCCGTCTGGAAAAACTTGACACTACTTGTTTGTTTTTGGGTGCGTGCGTGGGTTACGGTAGAGTGGGGTTGATATGAGGCTTTATATAGGGAGGGCAATGGTTAGTTTGGACACCTTGGCTCGGGGTTTAGGGTTACGGTAGCTCGGTCCTGACAATTACACCCTTTTTATGGGGATAGTTATCCAGTTTTTTTGCTGTCCTGGTTGGACATGGATTCCATATGAAAATATTTAGTTTGATGCTAATTAGCCCGTTACCCCAAATATCGAAATTCGATCAGTAATACCTTTAAGGGAGCATAATTCGAGTACCGTATTTGTAATTCATAAGGTATTATTTTTTTTAGTTGCTGTAACGATGCTTGATGCCCAGTTATTACATTTCCTCCTCCCACTCCCATTCCAGATCTCTGGATCTGAACTGTGGACTTCCGGGCGCGACCAATCTTTCCCCCCTCTTTCCCTTTATAGATGCCATTTTTAGATGAGCAAAGGGCCCCAATGTCTGGATGCGTGTGTGTGTGTGGGTATGTGTGTGTTAGAATCCTCGTCATCTGGACTCAACACCGCTCATGAGAAGAAGCCGTGGCCTATGGAACGACGACGACGACCTCCCCTCCCCTTAGGATAAATCTAATCATTACAGGGGATGAATTACGAAAAGAATGACGGCCCGAAATGCTCCCGGCCCACACACGCAGCCTTTTCGTCGAAAATGGGAGCCCAGTGGGTACGCACGGTTACTCATGACATTCTATTCAAGGGGGAGGGAAGCGGCTTCGGTTTTTTTAGGGACTGGCTTGTTCGTGTTGATTTGGAGTTTCCGATTTGGAGTTCAGGACAAACCAATGCTGTTGCATCGTGGCCCTCTTATACGATAAGATTTCAAATAATTTGTTTTTACTTGGAAATGTGCGAACTTTTAGGGAAACTGATTCTCTGTCACATTTTCTCTCTCTCGCGCGCGCACCCTCTCTCTCTCTCTTTCTCTCTTTCTCTCTCTCTCTCTCTCTCTCTCTCTCTCTTCTCTCTTTCTCTCTCACCCTCTGTCTCTCTCACTCTCTCTGTCTTTTTCTTTCTCTCTATCGCTCGCTCTTCCTCTTTCTCTTCCACATCTCTCACATTGTAGCCTATTTTTGCACCTCTATTAAGTTAGCATCTTTCCGTTTTTTTAGGCATTTCGCGAAAAACAGCCGGGCTTCCTCTTAAAAACTAGAATGTTCTCCTACATGCCCAGCTCAAAATTGACCCAAAAATCTCCTCTTTCGATACTCCCACACCTCCTCCTCCTTCTCCACCTCCTCATCCCCCCATTTTGCTAATAAATTATTTTAAGCCCATCACTAAAAGCCTAGGCTTTCGATCAGCGATGAGTTTGGTCTGGCTTTGCATACCCTCTTCCTCTCTTCCTCCCCACCCTCCCCAAAATCCGCTTCCGTGCCCGGAATTTGGAGTGTTTTGGAATTTTTCATCAGCGCTACCGCCGTGGGAGCAAGATGTTTTATAGAACATTGTCTAGCAGCCGGGCTTGCGTTTGGTTTGCCTCAGTTGCGACTCTCGCGGCTAGCGTCGATTTTTTTTCGCATTAGAATTTATTGCAAAAATCTAAATCAGATTTTTCAAAACCATCTACAAAATTTCCAAAGTTTTATTAATCCCAGTTTTCGCTACAAATCTACTTTAATCGGAACAAGGGTCGTTCTCTCCGCACTAATCCCCCTGTGTGGACTACGGTAGCGCCACTGATCCCGCCCAGAATCCACAAATTTACTTGCGAAAAAACTGGCGCACCGCCTGGTACCGGAAGTTCGTCAGAAAAATGTTGGTACATAGTTTGTTGTAATAATAGAAAGTAGGATGTTTGAGTTAAATAATCTGTAAAATTCTGAGAGACGAATACTTTCCATGAAAATTAAATGGTATTTTAGATGGGTAGTGTCGCTAATTATTAGAAATTAGTAAAATATGGTTAAACTCAACGGAGTTCTTGACAACATGAATGCCTAAGCAGCGCCTGAGCCCAAGCTTAAGCTACGCCTGAGTATAAGCTTAACCTTAAGTAAGCTTAACACCCAGCACAAGCGTAAGACGTAAGACCCTAAAACTTAGCCTGCGCCTATGTCTAAGCCTAACCTAAATTTAAGTCTAAACCTAACCCTAAGCCTAAGCATACGCCCAAGCATCAGCATAAACCTAAGCCTAATCCTAAGCCCCTCTCATCAAACTGGAACATTCTTGACTCATTCCACTACATTCACTCCCTGTGATACATCCATATGTAGTCTCCTACATCACTCCTTTCTCTAAATCTCGCTCAAGAATTCCTATAAAAAACGATCCAAACGGTGTCTTCCTCCTAAAATACGCACACAGCCCTTGTTCATCTTTTCCGGAATAGAAGCCGGATATTGCGTTAAGGGCGGAACCATGTAGTCCGACCCGGTCTGGGCCCAGAACTGACGGATTAACGTTTTTCGTCACGCGTCAATGCTCAAAATATGTAAACTTGGGGGGGGGGGGAGGCGTACTGGCTTGTGAATGATGGGTACGGTACATTTGTTGCGGTTATGCAGGTAGGCAGGGGGATTTGGCGGGGAGCCGTGGATTTGAGCATTTTTTAGTGAAGTTTGAGCATGAAAAAATGCGGGATTGGATTATGACAAAAAGACGGTTGTATATTTTAGTAGTGAGAAAAATATCGACTTAAAATTGGCTGAGAGAAAGCAGGAAAAATATTAAAAACAAAAAAGCCCATGGCATTTTGGTTTTGAGCTATATCTTATGGAATATTTTTTACGATTCTTTTTCATAGATATTAGCTACTTTGGGTAACTTGAAATATATCAAAAATATTTATTAAATTTTGCTATTTAAATTCAAACCTTTTCGGACTAGTTACGCAATTACTTACACGATAGAATCCTCAAAAGTGACCCATTGCTCATCCACTGATCATCCCGTCTACCGTCTACCACTACACCCAAAAACCCCCTTACGCAAAAACTCCCCAATCCACCACAAACCCTGATCATTATTTTTGCGACCGAAATCTGGTCGCTTCGAGACCTCCACCCCGTAGAAAATATGGACCAAATCGTGTCGTAGGCAAAACATTGGCTATGGCTTCCCAGGTCCCAGCCAGGCAAACGATTTTCGAACCGACGCCACATGATTTCCTTATTTACATCCACCAGGATTATTTATTTCTCGAGCCGTGGGTGTACTGTAGTCGCCGAAAATCGCGAGTTCCGGATTAGCTTTATTTAGAAAGTTGGTCTTGTGGGAAGAGGGGTGGTTTTTGGGCGTTGGTAGGTGGATTTCGGGCAAGAATTGTAAGTTAAAAGTGGGTATTTAAAGTTTAATGTTGCTTATATCTCAAGGCGGACTGCACCCTAGTTGATCAGTGGTTTGCTCTCTTTCCCCTTTCTCATCTCCGCTCGACCACAGTAGATCCGGATCCAGGATTATTTTTGGGGGTGGCACACCCCCAGTGGTGGGAAGAAGGCGGGATTCTTGCAAAATATTTTTCGCAAAATTGGTCACTGGACTTTTCGACGCATTGTCGGGCCGGTTTTGTTAATATATTCTTCATTTGTTGTTTGTTTGCGTGGGGTTTGTGAAAGGGAATTTTGCTTATCAATTAGGGAAGGTCTGGGGGAGAGGAAACCGGAATGTTACGTACTTTGGACGAGGTTTTAGCAAATTTTATAGGATCAATGTTGATAGTTTATCCAGAAGTTAAAAAAGTGCAGTATTTTTCAGGTGCTATTTTATTCTTTTTTCTTACCTCAAAAATTTAATGGCATAGTACTTATGCTTCCCTACTTTTTTGAATTGTCAATTTCTATCCAGTATTTTGATTTTCTACCTCTTAATTGCTGGATTAAAATTTGCCATTCCTAATTTATAGATGTCACAAAAAATGACAGGAATAGTTAAATTTTTGGCTAGCTTTTTAAATCTTAAATTTCTACGAAATTTTTTTGATTTTTGTTTGTCTAAATGACTTCAAAGACTCTTAATTTCTTGATTCAACTTTCAATTCCCAGCTGAAATCTTCACATTATGCCCTCCCACGACAACTGACCGCGCCACTAAACTACCGTATCCCCCCTGCGGTGCCCGGTAAACAATTCTCAATGACTCCAAATTCTAAGTTCAGCCCCCCAAAGCGCAACCCGTTCCTCGTACTACAGTATCCCCCACCGTTCACTCGTTAATCCGGCTTTGACCGGCACTCCCCTATAGTACTCAACCTTCCGTTGCAAAATATATAATTCTGTTTGACCACAACTGACCAGTTGCCAGGTAGTGCCAGTTGTGGCCACTCCAAACAGCCCCCCCCCCGCCGGTTGCTTTCCGAAATGGTGCCTCATTTGAAACACACAAAAACCGGGGCGTCAAAGATCTGGCCGGGATTAACTAGTGTTCTCTGTGTCTCTCGTTCTCTCACCCTCTCTATTGTACCGCCCCCCCCCCCCGGGACGACACGTGTGTCATATATATAAATGCAAACTGGGGAGATGGAGACACCGTAATAATTCAAAACTTGGGAAGGGGGAAGGGAATGTTGATTAGAATGGATGTTCAGGGTTGGATAGACGGCCTTGACTATTTTTTGATGCTTGAGAATTTGTCAGAGTTTCCTTCTATTTTAGTTTTTTTATTTTTAAACTCATATGGCTATTTTTCATGATATTAAACTTTGTACAAGCTTCTATATCCTTTTAGATCTTTATTTTCCCGTATTTAACTTCGTTAGTTTTGCAACGCATCTAAACCGCCGCTTTCTGCTCCGAAATTTTTGTTTTTAACGAACTAAAATTGTTGGTTTTTTCAAAGCTCACGCAACTTCTTCTCGCATCATATTTTCTATTTTCTCACGCCTATTAGTGCACAAACCATTTTTAATGCATATTTCAGATGCTAAACGTTGCCCTTTTACTATTACTACGGTATGCAAGAGATGCCTCGGCGAGTATGTGCCAAACGCCCCCCTCGCCCGAACACCCGAATATTGTTATTTTAATGGTTGACGACTTAGGTAAAATATAAAACTCTATTGTTTAAATGAATTTAGGATACGGTGATTTCCAATCTTACGGCCATCCGACGCAAGAGCGATCGGAGGTGGATCGAATGGTGGCAGAGGGGACAAGGTTTACGCAAGCCTACGCAGCAGACAGTATGTGCAGTCCGAGCAGAGCTGGATTTATCACAGGTACGCTGAATTTTATTTTTTGAAATTTAGAGAAAATTTAGGGAGACTCCCGATCCGATTGGGGGTAACTGGTGGGGCTCGAGTTTTCTTGCCGCAAGATATTGGAGGACTACCGAAGTATGAGAAAACAATGGCAGAGATGTTGAAGGAAGCTGGTCGGTCTTAAAATTTGGTCTAAAATGGTTATGCTAAATATTAGGATACGCGACTGGTATGGTGGGAAAATGGCATTTGGGTATGAACAAGCACAACCGTACGGATGGCACCTATTTACCGTCACGTCGCGGGTTTGATTGGGTCGGCCTGAATATGCCCTTCACGAATATGTGGGAATGTGATACGTCACAGGTAAGGAAAGAGGGAGCGAGATACAGACATCCCCGAAAGCTTTCTTGCACTTTAAATGATTAGAAATTTGCAATAGACCTAGTAGTGTCTATCGTTTGTTTTCGTGAACTAAAGAGGAACGAGGCGTTTTGGTATTTGAAACCGAAATCTATTTCTGCCTTGACTACTGAATTTCCAGAAATTCAACTTCTACGGACCAAACTCGACGCTTTGCTTTCTCTACGACGGCGATGAGGTGGTACAACAACCAGTAAACTTTGATCACATCACCGATAATCTCGTCGATGACTGGAAACGCTTTTTGAGGTTGAGAATGATGAAGGTGAGCCTTCAACTCCCCTTTAAAAACACAATTTCCCTCTCAGGACCAACACGAACGTCCCTTCTTCTTCTACTTCTCGTTCCCGCATGTCCACTCTGCCCAATTCGCCAATGCTCGGTTCCTTGGATCGTCGGTGCGAGGTACGATATACCCCCGAAAACCCTCATTTTCGCAAGATTAATTGTCTGAGAGCGATACCGTCCCCCTACAGTCTCCCCAATAAGCACGGATTAAAATTGTTTGCCGGCGGGAAAGGACCGAAGATTACTTTTGAGCGCGGAAGAGATGACCACTTTTTAGCGCTGAAAATGGGATCCCAGCAAAGTTAAGCCGAATTATTATACGTGGTCCGTTCGTGCGGGGGGATGCCGACAACAAATTAGCTTGATCGGGAAAAGGGCAAAATGGGTGGAGGGGATGATTTTCAAGGGCCATGGAAGTAGTGAATTATCACTACAAACTCGAATTATTAGGTCTGTACGGCGACAACATTAATGAAATGTCGTGGGCGGTTGGGCAGGTGATGGATAGTTTGGTCGAAATGGGCATTGCAAGACAGGTGGGCGGACTAAAAAAGAATATTAAGGTTTTTTTAACCACAAAATGCAGTTTTATTTTTGATCTTTAGACGCTTGTTATTCTGATGAGTGATCACGGACCTCATCAAGAATTATGTCTCAATGGTGGCTCTACAGCTGGGCTGAAGGGAGGAAAATCGAATAGTTTTGAAGGTGGATTCCGGATTCCGTTTGTGGCCTGGCAACCTGGGACTGTACCGGTAATTTTTTAGACTGTTTTTAAGGTTTTCTGAATTTGACTTTTGGCCTTTCTTTACTGAATCTCTGAATTTTTCAATTTTTTCAGGGCGGCCGTGTCAGCCACGAAGTGATCAGCAGTATGGACCTATACCCAACATTCCGGGAAATGAACAAGTGCGAATATGAGGTAATCAAAGCCCTAGAGACTCTTACACCTCTTAATTTTAGGCCAAACAACTGCCCCTTGACGGCATCAATATCTGGGATGAACTTCGAGGGCTCAGCACAGAAAAGCCGGGATATTTAGGACGAGCACGACCCATCATCTACTACTGTAACACCCATCTGATGGCCATTCGATTTGGAAACTACAAGGTACACCATAAATCTGCGCCTCTAAAAATCTGAGTCCTCATTTAGATCCACTACAAAACGTCACCAATCTTCCACAACACCACAAACGATCCGAATCTTGCTGAAAAGTGTCCGGGCGGGAAGCCGTTTGATGACTGGTACGGAATCGGATTTGTCTGTCTTTGATCTAAAGCAGACTTAATTTGTCTGGCATTCTTAATATCATAGAGCAGTTCGGAAGTTGAGCCGCCGACAAGTTCAGAAAAGGCTTCGGGGGGTACAGATGTGTCATTGGGGAAGTAGGAAGCCTGTTCCTTTTTCCGAGAATAACAATTGTCTGATATGATAGGATGAGCAAAGATCTTTTTCCAAAAACTTGATTAAAGCCACATAAAAATTTACATAGCTTGTTCGGGCCTCAAAGACCTATTCCGACGCAATACCGAACACACCAAAATCTTTGGCTTCTCCCTCGGCTAATGACCAACATTTCTTACTACGTGAAATTTACTGAATTACATTCTAATACCATTGTGAAGCCCTAAGCATCTCCCCGATGCCGACCTCGTTTTTTTTGCCACGAAAACTTTACCATGTAAATAGGAAGGGTTCGACGACCACCACCTATACACAGATTTTCACCCAGATCCCCCAGCCCCCCAGAGCTAGAAATAGAATCGAAATCGTAAACAGGGCAGCTGACACGGCTCGAAATGTGCTTAGGTTGTTGTGAAAAATTATAACCTGAAACTTTCAGGTACGTATCTCAAAAGTGTCCAGATGGGGATCTGGTCACCCATCGACCACCACTCGTCTATGATCTACAATTCGATCAATACGAATTGTATCCCATGGAGGACAACGAATTGACACAATCGGTATGCTGATTTTACCAGACTTTTAATTCCACTGTACACCTTTTGACACCAAGATTCCCCTGGTCCACAAATCGCAACTGAAATCTGGTCAGCTCCCGGAAATTGCCATCGCAAATCCGATATAATCCAGCTAATGCGCAGCTCATCTGCTCGGCGGCCCCTCAATCCCCCCGAAAAATTCCTGCAACGCAACCGGGAAGCCCCGCGGAATTTCTGATCCCAACAAAGATCTCTCCTAGGGGCCCGGTTCTCGAAATCGCAGAGAAGCCCCTCGAAAATTCAAATATCCCGGCCCTACGTTGCGATCCCCTAAAATCCAGGGATTTTGTGCAATTCCTCGGAATTTCCAAAACAAGGGATCATAAAGGGCATTTTTTTAATATAAAAATGAGCTGCCTAGTGTTAAGTTCTGATTTTCAGTTGAGAATGGAAGCCGCGCAACTGTTGATAGAACACAAGGGATCATTAGTGAAAGTGCCGCAACAATTGGGCAACTTCTCACTGGGTGTTATCCCTTGCTGTGATCCACCCCTCTGTCAATGCGACAAGATAAAGGAGCGACATTTGAAGCATAAAGAACATGTAAGTTTTATCAGCTATCATCACCACCTACACCGGACCCTAACGTAGTTTTGTATCCAACCGTACCCAACCCCCGAATTTTTCGTCCCTATCATTTTATAGCCGCTATCATTTTTTATTATTTGCTTGCTCAGGTCATTTTCATTTTAATAATTTAGAAATAGCTTTTAGTTCACTTATTTCGACTTATTTTACTCCTAAATTCAAGGCCTACCAGCCATTTTCAGCAAAAAACCCGAACACGGCCACATTTTGATGCCACCTCCCTAGGATACGTCGGCCAACACGGAGGCGACATGTTCCAAAATTTTCTGTTTTAAGGCTCCAAAAAACCCCAAATTCCACCCCACCGTACATGCCTTATGATTATAAAGACCCCCCCCCCCCTAAAATGACCTGAGTTCGCTAGGAATTAATTTTAGCTTCATATGTGGAAATATTTCGGGAATTAGGCCTAGAAGTGACGACTATTCGGGTCCGGTCGGGTCCTCCTCTAAGCAGCACTATAAATACCGTAACCGTTGTTTGTAGAGCCTACGCACCAACTTCGTCCCTCTCAAAAAGGAGCTGATGAGCCAGATTTTGATAAACAACGATTTTTAAATCCAAACCGGTAACCCTAAACCCCTAATTTTCAAACCCCGGTGAAGGTTACAAGTCGACTACGTTAAAATACTCTTTCCCCCCCAAAACGGTGCCATTGTTGTGTCGCGGAATTATTGTTTGAATATTGCCATGCGTAAGAGAATATCTTTTTGCTCTCTTGCTAACAAATTAGGACTATATAGCTAGATATCTATTCGATTTCATTGTCGGGCTAGAATTCTCAGTTGGGAAATACCGAAAAATGATAAGCGTTCCCCCATATTCTACCGTATTTTTTTGCCTTTTCGCTTTTTCCCTTGGCCGCTAGCCAATGCCCCCCACAAACCGTCGAGCTTTTTCTGTCTCTATTCATTCTTTATATTTGAATAATTTGTATGCCCTCCCATTATCGTCTCCATCGCCATATCCCCCCAATGACAAAAAATCTCCAAATACTGCAAGGCCAAATTATGGTTGCCGGATCTCATTTTGCTAGTGATTTGCCGTGTGTCTGATGTCTCTCTCTCCACGTTGGAATGATTTTTTGTACATAATTATTATTGCGGTGAATAAATCGTTGAATAATTTATGTGGATAGAAATTGAAAAAAGCACTAAACAGCAGCAAAACAGGTTCTTGAGTATTCCCGGGGGGGGGGAAAGAATTCGCGGGGGGGGAAACCTTTTTTCTGTTTTTTTTCGGGCACTTTTTTTCTGTTGGCCCTGGTGGGCATAGTAATAAAATATAAAGTGTTTTCACATTGTTTTTAGCAAAACTTAAGCCTATTTGAATCGGAAAAAACTTTTTAAAAAGTTAGAAAAACGCTTGAAAAAGTCGAAAATTTGGTCATTTTTGGGCCGAAAAAATCGATTTTTCGACCTAAAATTAAATTTTTTAATTAAATTTTGTAAAGTTTTTATGCTTAGGAATAGCTATAAACAATTTAGAAACACTTCCACTATTGATATAAAAAATCTAGGCTTAGGCCAAAAAAAGTTCAGTTTCCCCCCCCCGCGAATTCTTTTCCCCCCCGGGAATACTCAAGAACCGCAAAACACACAACAGATTTAATCACAGATTTTAAAGATTTAATGGTGAAGGTTAGTCGGTTAAATTGGACTTAAAATAGAGAAGTAGGAAGTTCGAGTCAGGATTCCGATAGCTAATTTTATACATGTAAATTCAAACTAGCGGACAAGTATAAAAATGGCATTTTTGAATTTGTTAATGACCAAAGAAGCAAAAATGAAATTCAAGCTAGCACACAAATTTAAAACGGAATTTTTCAAATATATTAATACTAACCAGGGTTGAAAAGCCGCTACGCGGCTTTTCAACCCTGGCCCCGTCGCCCCATGATATTCTACACTTTGCATAATTCCACCCGCCTGCCAGGAGTAAAAAATGAAAAGCACTCGCCTCCGCTAGGCTAGGCTCTCCCCACTTCCGGTGTATGCTAATTGATTCCCAACAACGAGGTAGAGCGCGATTTTCATAAGAACCTAATTTTAATAGCGAAAACAGCGGATTTTCGAAAACCTGATATTTATTGAGATACGACTGGAACATACGGACGGAAGTTGCATGCAAATGCACACACACACAGACACTATCTTTTTAAATATAGTAGGATATTGCAAGAATAACATAAAATGTCAGTAAAAATTGTGATAACTCATTTACATATATGCAGTTGGGAAGCAAATAATTTCCTCGGCTGCGAATTTTATGGACAAAATTGACGTCACATATTTGTTAATTTCGACTTGGATAAACGGCCATGTTAAAACACACAACAAAAATCAAATATCAACACCACTTCTACACGTTTTTTTTCCAAAATTAATTGAATCACATTCCTGCAGAGACAGATTAATTTTTCGCCTTCATTTTGCAATGAATTTTGTAGGAATGCCGCGGATTGGGTTAGTGGGGAGACGAACGCTAATTTGAAGGTACGGGCTTTCGGGAGGAAATGGTCAAATCCCGGCAGCTCGGAAAGCCCGATGACCTAGAACCCGAAATCGAAATCCGCGCATCCAAGCGATGGGGGGAGGGGGTAGGGGGAGGCTGCGGATTGGGAGCACATCTACTCCCCTTCCCCCCTCCATTCAGCCACTATCACTAATCTGAGTTTGGAACCGTACAAGGAAATGAATAGCAGTTTATTACTGACAATTTTTATTGCATTTTTATATTCTATAGCAGGTATGTTTTTAAGTAATGTACGAAGCGATAAAAATGTCCGTAATTTATTAATTCTAATTCATCCCATTTTTATTATTAGTATTTATTATTTATTATTTATCAGTTTTAGTCGTATTTAAATTAACCACCATATAATTAAAATACCCAAAGTATTAGGTTGAACCGAAAGTTCTTGTAATATTTTTGACTCTTTTATATTTTCTTTCCAGAAAACGGATCCTAAAGTTCCAATTTACTTTTTTGCCTATTTCGGTATTAAATTAGTAGCGAGAACTTATTATCTTGATAGTATCTCATTTCTATGGTAACTTTATGGCGCTTCTGAAAAATGTCAGGATGTAAAATTTGAGACCACGCAGACAGAAAACGCGAAAATAATAAAGCATGGGCCTAGAAGCTTATAATTTTCATCCAAGGTACTATTGAAGTCAACAAATATCTTGAAAAAGAAACAACCGTAGCGGTCCACAAAATATTTAGGAAAAATTTCGGAAGTTCGATTACAAGAACTTTCGGTTCAACCTAATAATACAATTTCCATAATTCTTATTTTTAGCGGCCAATACTCCTGAACCCGAGGCGGCAGATCCCGAAAAATTAAGCGATTGCGTGAAAAAGTGCCTGGGGCCAATTTATAAAATGAAGCGAACATTCCTCTATGTCTTCGAAAACTTTGAAAAGGTACTTTTGTGTGTTTTAATTTGTACTGTTTCTCTATCTAGGTATGCGAATTGCTGGAAGATGGAGCTTTCTGTGCACAAAAATGCGAGAAAGAGGACCAGCATAAATTCTGGCAATTCACCACATTCTATCGGGTCTATTGTGTCAATCATGAAGAGGGTAGGTCTATTAGGCTTTAAAACATTATATTTTTATTCTATAATATTTTTGATGTTTTTCTAGAGCTGGAGGAGCATTTACCATGTCTAAAGGCTGCTGCTAAGGACGTTGATTCAGGTAAAAAATGTTTTCTGTTATTTTAATCTGGATTTTAGTATGCCATGATCGATGCAGAACCGTCAACAAGGCTGAACCAGGAATGAACAAACAAGAAAAATTAGACCGTGCCTGCAAGTACGGGTTTTCACCTTAAAAATCACACCAATTTAAGGGCCGTTGAATGCTCGACAGTCTGCTATTTCCATGAATTTGCCCAGGACTGCCCGAAGGCTCAAAGTTTGTTGATTGTGAGTTTTCCTTGTTTATCTAAATATACAAAACAATAATTTAGCGTATGAATCTTGACCAGATTAACGAGGTTTCGCTTTCTCTGCATCCAAAACAGCATGAGGGGATGAGTCACGAGTGTCGGTATGTATTTATGCTGCACTATTAATTCAAAGAAAAGTTAGGCTTTTATTTCAAAATCCTGTGCACTATTTTTATATTTTATAAAATCAGATTTGCAACGGCAAGCTTTCAAAAAGATTAATTCCACTTTTTAGGGATATCCACAACCTCGAATACATGAAAGCCGCCATGTTGGCCTCTTTGGAAGAATAGATGCTGCATGCTTAATAAATTTATATAATTCTTTCCAGATACATGACATTCTATTTTTGGTTCAACCTTAGATTAAGATGACCTACCGTCAAACGTCATTTTCATCACCTAAGATTCCTTAACCTTAAAGCAAATCCGTCAGCTAAATCTGCTGTTCTCAATTCGAAAACCAAAAGCTATCACCCGTCAAAATCTATCATTTGAACCGGGAACTTCTCTGACCTCCAAATTTCAGTTTCAGTACAAAATTCGGTTTCACTACTCATTCCATCCCGGGGGAACTAAAAAACAACTCGGACCAAAAAATGATACCCAGTTCAGGGGTCCCGGTAGACCTCGCGATTCTTTGTAGTTTTGGCCCTGCGTGGCACTTTTTGTGGGGGTACGGCTACCGTATTCCCTGGGGGAGCGAGCTTTGGGCCTTACCGCCAGTCTACGATTTTTTGGGGGGTTAAAAATGCAGACCGGCCGGGTATGCATTCTGGTCTGAGTTAGGGGGCAACAGGTGAACTTGGATGGTGGCTTGTGATTTCTGGTTTGTATTATGTAATGGCAATTATCGAGCGGGGTGTGGTTATTATGCTTTTTTGATTTATTTTAGGCTGTTTGCCAGGTCGCAAAAACAAGTACCCGCCTAGTCGTCCAGGCGAAACTAGGCCCGTGAGATTTTGTTCGTTTAGAAAAGAAAACAAAAAGCCTTTATTTTTTCTTTTAGATTGTTACTTTATTTATATTTTCTTACTTTGTCGTGACTTTCGAAGGATAAATACAGTAACGGAGATCTTATTTTTTATCACCTCCGTTTTTCGATGATCTGGGGGGGGGATATCCCCGAAATCCTCATTTAGAAAACATTCGATTTTCACTGTGCTAGATGTAAAATAACATCTCAGTTTGGACTTCCATAGCGTAAAAATTTATTTTTAGGGTGTAAACCGCGTTCACTTTTTGGCTAAAAATACGGACAGAAACTGACTGACACCATGTGGAGTTTCGAGGTCGGCTATTGCGATATTCGTAATCTACGATTGCAAATTAGCCGGAATCAGTAGTTTTTTGGATTTTTGCCGGATGTCTAGATACCATTTCCGGATACCGGGAAATAGTTAGCTTCAACGGTTTTCATTTTTTCGTGCGGCTCTTTTATATCACATCGGAAAGACACTATCAGATGTGTAAAATCATTAGCCTGGCCGCTAGAGAGCACTTTTTCGGACGCACAAGCATGAAATCAGTACACCCTCATTTCCAAACCAGCCCAGTAATATCATTTCGAAATTTCTCCCTATGGCCTTTCAACGATTCCAATTCATACCTAAAGAAGTGTGCAAAATTTCCATTTGGTATTGCTCACCTCGACGACTCGAGCCCTTCACCCCCCTTTTTACTCTCCACCATAACAACACCCACCACCGAGCCGATACAAAAAACATGCAATTACAGAGCGTAGGATGGGATGGGGGATATTCCTTCGGGCCATCTCGTTCTGATGGGGTAATTATCTATTTTACCTCTTCTGTCAGCATCCAGGCGATTCTTTCCTCTTTCGGTTCGGTACGGTTCTTATTTTTTGAAGAGGTGGATGTTCAGAATGCTTATTGTGCTTTGGTGCATCGATTTTTGGGAGTTATTACCGTCACTTACTTTACTACTACTGCTTTATTACACGTTTCAGGTTCAAAGTATGATTTTTGACGCGCATCCGATGACGTTTTCAAAATAATAGAGTAATTTTTTCAAAGGTAGGCAATTAGTTTCCAACGGTTTTATTTCTCTCCTCCCCCTGTTAAGCCCCCATTGAACTTTTGCTATGTCACGCCCGGTGTCATTCTTTTATAGTATTCCATTTGCCTTTTTGCGAAGTTCACTGATATCATCTGCACTTTGTTGAATCGATTTTTGAAATTAATCGATAGCGAATTCTCTAAAAATGCTCAAAACAAAACACCTCTTCAAAAATTGATTACCGGGTAGCTTTATTGCTTTTCCAACTCCTTTTAGACCCAAAACTCATTCCGAATTCATGGTATTGCTGGCCACCAAGCTTTTTTCGATAACACACCCCTACAGTGTTGAATTTTTCAGTTGTTTCTTTAGACCTTTTCCCAAAACGTCATCGATTCTAGGTGCTCCACGGGTACGAACGTTCGCCTTTAACACGTTTTCTTATGCGTAATGCCCGGACCTGTCGGCTCTCTCTCAGTTTCACCCAATCTCTCCGACCCAAGGGACCACTTTTTCCAGGCACTTCCCCTTTAATCAACGTCGTACAGATCTTTAAAGTCCATCCTCCAATTCTTGGTAATCCCTCCCAGAAGATCTGCTACGCAATATCCCTTCATCGAATCATGCCATCCCTTCCATCGCTATTTTGTTTTTTGCCAACTGGATCGAATTCCCTGGTGGGCCATATCTGAAGGGGCGTCCGCCTCATATCTTCGCGATAGTTCTCGTCTTGGGTGTTTTCATGCGTAAAGTCCGATATACCGTTCGATTGGGCTCATTTCCGGGCGAGGCGGCAAATTGCTTGCGTGCGTGTGTTCAACAGGAAATATGCCGTTTCGTCGGTTGGGGGCAATTTGGCACATTCTCATATTGTTCTGGTCCGTTGGAAGTTTCTGCCAAAGCTAGGTAATGGTTTATATTGTGGAAAGGAGTTGTCAAAAAGATTTTAAGGCGTGTCTATGATTTCATATATTGACGCCATTGAAAACTTTAATTTTAATTGAAAGCTTCCTAATTAAATTGTAGACTTTCAAAACCCATTCTAAAGTTTTGATAAATTTCAGTAAAATACACAATATTTTTGTTTGGATAATTTTATCTATGCATGATTAAACGAACAGCATAATTTTAGCAAGATGAATAGAATAAAGTTTCCTTTTTGATCCGGCAATTTAAGCTACTAAAATTGACGATGCACTAATACACAATCATGAAATACTTGATTCGAATAGAGCTATACCTAAATAATTTTAATCATAAGCCTAAACCTAACACAAATGCATAAAAAACACAACAAGCCAAAACCTTCCAAAAAACGCCGAATAATTAAAAAAATCCCTACACCCCTATGCACCTCACGCTCCAATTTGTGCTCGGTTTTAAAGCCCAAATTTCGGCTCGTGCCTACGAACCCATAATTATAAAATCCATGTTCTGCCGGTCAGCCCTGTCATTTTCGCCATTTTCACCTGCTCCCCCTCCCCACACATCCTCAATATTCTTTTTGGGCAAACTCCAGCCAGCATATCACGTGTCCTCCCATCTGTTGCCGATCTGCTCTGATTTAACGCCCAGCCTTTTTTGCCCAATCTTTTTGGCCCCGGAATATATGCCCTCCAGAAAGGCTGACCGGCTACAATCCCCTCATTTCCACCTGCACCGCCCAGTCGTTTTTGAATTCTGAATTCCGATTTTCACCCTTTGCAACCATCGCCCAACTATTTTCCCGTTAAAAAAGCTTATAGTCTGCACTTTATTGATTCTACACCTTTATTTTGAATCTCTATAAGTTATTTTCGGAATTCATAATTAGCTTTGCCAGTCCTGGGGGGCTGTTTATCGGCAAAAATAGGGGTAAGTTTTTGATTGGTTGCTAGCCTAAAGCATGCTGTAAACAACCTGATTTTATATATTTAGTTCTATTTTTTTGTTTTTATTGAACTACATAAGTTTCAATAGTTTTGTTAGAAAATATTATTGAGTTTGGTCTAGTTTAATTAATCACTAAGTGACCTTTTTAAGGTGATACCTCTTCAGCCAATGGGCTCCTGCGAGAGCAAGGAGCTGGCTGAGCAGAAGAAAGCGTAAGTCTATCTTCAGTCAATTTTGTTGTAATCTTATTTAACCATTAATTCAAATTCAATTCAGGTCGAAAAATATCGATCGGGCGCTCGAGAGAGTTGCCGCGTATACGGTTCAGAAGCTTTTACTGCTTGGGCCTGGGGAAAGCGGGAAATCGACATGCTTGAAGCAAATGCAGTAGGTTATTAAGGGTGACAGGCAGAGAGAGAGAGAGAGAGAGAGAGAGAGAGAGAAGAGAGAGAGAGAGAGAGAGAGAGAGAGAGGGAGTGAGAGAGACGGCGAGAGTGCCAGAAAGCTAGAGCAAGCGTCCGAGATCGTGGGAGAGACGGAGTGAGAGCGAGAGATAATCCTAAAATTTTCGACTTCAAATTCATCTCTATGCTCCGTTACACGACCTTTTCCAGAATTCTCCACCAAGATGGCTTCTCAAAAGAGGAAATCAAAGAAAAAAGACGCATCGTATATGTGAACATTGTCAGCTTCATGAGCATCATCCTACGGGCCGCCGAAGAGCGACATTATTTTATTGAGCCCGACCTGGATGTGAGTCGCTAGCCCTTAATTTTGGGTTTAGCCCGCCTTGCCTAACTATCGATCCATTTAGTCAGCACGAGAATTGGTCCATCGTGCGGCGGCGCTCCGAGAAATAGAGGAAATACCGCCAAATTTGCAACTCGGATTACAAGTTCGTTGCTAATATAACAAGCGTTCAGTCTTAATATTTTTCCAGAAATTATGGAAGGACAAGAATGTGTTGAAAATCTATGAAACACGAGGCGAATATCACCTATCAGATTCGGCTGCCTAGTAAGTTGCTATTAAACTTTTTAAAAGGATTATCCCGTTTAGTTTTTTCGATAATCTGGACCGTATTTGTGAGAAGGGGTACCAGCCAAGTCATGAAGACATTCTGCATACGAGGGTACCCACCACTGGTGTAGTACAAATGAGCTTCAAGGCAAAAGGATTGAATTTTGAGTGAGTTTTCGGAAACGCAATATAAATTCAAATTTCTTTAGAGTCTATGATGTTGGTGGGCAAAGATCGGAACGACGAAAATGGATTCATTGCTTCGACAATGTCGATGCAATTATTTTTATAGTTGCTATATCGGAATACGATCAACTTTTAAAAGAAGACGATCGGACGGTAAGTCGTCATTATTTTTTATTACGGAAAAAAGCATTTTTTGCTCATCTGAATCGATGCCAAGTTCACATTTTGTTTTCTAAAACCCTCGTTGGAAGAGACAAAACGACCATTCACCAAAGCGTCGCTAAGAGCGAACCGCTAATTTGAAAATAAATTGTAGGGCAATCAGAAGCTAATCGAATGACTTCCTTGAATTTTGGGACACAAAAGCAACTTTTAAAGAATTTCACAACTTCGTCTTCCCTCGCCTATCATATGCTGTCAGTTTTTCTTCAACCTCGCATTTCAGAACCGTCTTCTCGAAGCCCTCGAACTGTACGATAGTGTCGTAAATGCACGGTTCTTCCTAAAAACTGGTATTATCCTCTTCCTCAACAAAAAGGACCTATTCGCCGAGAAAATCAAGAGCACATCCCTCAAAGTCTGCTTTGCTGCATATAAAGGTGATATTGCAACGTTTTCCCGCCCCGGCAATTACAGGGTTGCCCGTCATGAGCCCCGTAAACTACAAACCAGAAAAAATTTGCAAATTGAACAGCCTCTTTTTCAGGTGAAAACAATTATAATGACGGCGTTGCATATATTAAACGCCAATTTGACAAGCTGGATCGGCGTGTGTTGGTCAGTTTTTGTAGATTTCTGTGTTTATTAAGGGAGTCAAATGCATTGTAAATCCTTTTTTCAGCAAGCCGACGCAGCAACTAGAGGAAAACAGGTATACATCCACGAGACGTGCGCTACGGATACCTCCCAAGTACAAGTCGTCATCCGATCCGTCATTGACACAATAATTCAAGAAAATCTCAGGGATACCGGCATGTTGTAGTTTTAAATTGTTTAGCCATCCGCTTTGCCAGCAATAATAATATGCTAATTTTGTACTACTCTAATACTGTACCTACTCTAATATTTTGGACATCTTTAAAATCCCCTCAACCGCTTCAAAAAGCATTTATTATTATTATTGCTTTTACTTCTTTACAGTTTTTTCCATTTCGGTTGTGCATCTCTACTCTCTCTTACTTTTCCCTTCTGTTGCTTGAACTAATGTTTCTTTGCACCTCTTCCGCTTTATAAAATTACCTGTAAATACGTTACACTTCGGGCAATATTTGATTTCACGCCAAACCATCGACTATTCCGTCGGCCAATCATATTTCGGCTTTTTTTAACTTGGTGTGCGATCTCCGTCTTATTGACAATTACATTTCGCTTCTATTTTTATCCGAATAAAAATCAATACTTTGAAGCCTCGTTCGGGTCAACTTTTGCGAGGGTTTTTGCGCCAGACATAGAATCGGTCCGATGGGCGCTTGTACTCTCATAGATTGTGGCAGGTGTTACTTGCATTTGGACCCAATGCGGAACCTAAAACGGTCATAAAAAGTCATGCTTTGGCTTACATATCGTAGTATCGCGTTCCGGTAGTCCCGCACAAAATAGATCATGGCAATTGGTTCAACAAAGGAATAAATCCCGAAAGATACTGTAACAAATGTTGTATCTATTGGGAGGGCAGCAATGGGACATAATAATACCACACCGGATGGGGCATATTCAAATATGGTTGGTATTAAAGTCTGAAAATTAAAATAAATTTGTAATGTTTCCTTAAGAATCACCTGGACAAGCAGGGCTTTGAATAAACTCAGCTGCAACTTCCTGGTCTTTTTGCTCATAGGTGCTGCTTTTAGCGTCGACCAAATTTTTAGCCCGCAGTATGTTATAATAGCAAAGCTTCCCGAAATAAAGCTCATGCAGATTCCCATGCCGGCCCAAGACATCCAATTCATAGTTTTACGTCCATTTATAAACGTCTAAAAGGAATCAGTTTCTCTTAAAAAGACTTACAAAATATATACTGCCCAAAGAACTCATATGGTGAGTATCACCATTAAAATGATCCCGAACCGGCTTCTCAAAATCTTGTATCACTATCGGGTTGTTATAAAGAAATATGTAAACATTGGCAGCATAACCACAAGCCATAAAAAGATAGAAAGCAGTCATACATAATAATACGTGGCACCGCCTCATGCGTTTAAAGAATTTGAGACTAAATATATATAATTTTGGGGATTACTCGATCCCAAGCATTGCTTTAATATTTTAATCCGATGATCATAACACAAAACTTACTGACAAACTAATGAATATCGATATACAAAATGAAAGCATAGTAACGCTAAAGATTGAGCGTAAGCCGAGGCGTAGATTAACAACCCAATAGCTATAAGAATTTTAATTAATTAATATTTTGGAAATACTCTGCAAATGCTGCGATTCCAACACGAGTGGCGAGGTGCAAAACATAAAAAAGCCATACCCATAAGACCAGATTACCTACAGCAAATTCCTTTAATTAAATTCCTTTAATTTCCTTTAATTTTTTTTTGGAATTGCCCTACCGGTGTCGTTAAAAAGCATATTGTTGGGTAGATTATGTTGAATATTGCAAAACTGAGCATAAATTTCGAATAGGCTTTGAGGTAGGCACGAGTGTGTGCGAGAATTAGATAGATTAGCAGCGAATTGCATATAATTGAAAGAACAAAATTTGTGGTGACGATCTGGTGATGATAGCTGGGGACTTGCATCTGAAATGAATGAATGTATTAGTTTATTTTTTGCAGAATCGAAAGATGTACGGCAAGAACTGTACCGTTTTAAGAACAGTCTTCTGCCTCAATTAGCAAAAATAAAATAACAGAATGCAGATAATGGTAAAATTCAAAGACTAAACATCTTGGCAAAAAAAATTTCGGTTTATATGCGGTGTGAATGTAGGAGATTGGGGCGTGAAAATCGGGAGAACAAGATGAAAACAAGGGTTCTCTGACCTTCCCGGGGTACGGTTGGGCACATTGGCGTGGAAATGAAGCGGCAATTACCGACTGTCTGATGGGAAATAAATCAAAATATTGTTTCTTGGAAACGTGCAAATTTGAATGAGTATATTTGGAAAATTTAATGAGATCAACATACATATTCATTTTTGCAATTTAACGAATCCATTTTTACAATGTTAAAACGGCTCTCCTCTCCTTCCACAGGAAATGAAGCTGTGAATAAGATTAGTTTTCAACGCCTGCCACCCCATCTACTTTCCGTGGCGTTAATTTGCTCGTGCGGGGGCAATAAAATTGGCGGAGCCGAAAAAAGGGTCCAACATCACCTTCGGTTCAGCTGCTACGGCTACAGAACTCCCACAAGAACTCATTGTGTTACAGCGATGTTGCAAAGATCTCCCCAGAGAGTGAAGGGGGAGATCAAGAATTGGGAAGACTTCAAAGGAAATCTAAAGGACATTTTGTAAAGGAAATCGAATGTGAAATGTGAAAGCTTACTAAAGAATCTTCAAAAAAACCCTGAAACTGCATCTTTCATTTTCCGTTCTTGGTGGACGATGATCTTTTTCGAAAATCATTTATTCTCCATACGGCTTGAATGGAGCTTCTCTGTTTAAAAAGCAAAGTTTCGAAACTCACTTTTTCTAAACAGGTATTATTTATAGGAGCTTCCACATAAAAAATTTTTTAGAATATACGTTCCTCGGAATGTTTTTTTTCAAACTATCTTTTTAAATATATGATTGTCGAGCAGCTAATCAGCAAATACCTATTTTCTTACACCTCCGAATTTCACCTCGATCACTGTCAGCTGGTAAAACAATAAATCCCGCTTTTCGGGAGAGAGCTTTGCGCGGACCCCCTGAGGCCACTAGAATGCATTTGTTTGCCTTTAGGGTGTCTTGAGGGACCGCATGCGCTTTCTTGCCTTCTTGCCCACCAACCAAATCCTTCCACTCAGCCCATTCCACCGTCCAGCCAACCGCTCGCTCCTTTTTCTTGCGTCTTTTAATCTACAGTCCTTCCGGGTTTATTTCGTAAATTGTACATTTTCGAAATTTCTAGAGTCTGGAAGAGATGTTTAAGGTTACTATGTCCGCTTGACTACGCTTTTTACTATTTAAAACGCATGTTCGATTGCTTCCTTCAGCATACAGAATTACGTAATTTGGTGTATACATAGGCGGCATGCCTGACCGTTCGTTTAAAGGAAACGGAAAAGGCACGGGTAAGCTTTTTTTGCTATTTATCAATTGGTTACGCGCATAAAATCATTACGGAATAATTTTCAAATAATGCCAGGCTCTTTTTTTGCCTAATTTAAATATAGTTTTTGAAACAAAAAAATAAATAACGCAAGCACTTTCGACCCATTTCCGTGTCAAAATTAGCATGCGAAACCTGACGAAACCGCCGGCTTCTCGTCCCGGGTTTCAACAGTGTTTTTCTGCGGCACGGTGCGCAAGGCGCTGTTGGGAAGATCGGATTCCCCTCAGTTCCGCGACGCCCAAAATTCCGCCCATTCGATTGGTGACTGCTGGGTCTTTCGGGGGTTTGGTTGGGGTGGAGAAGAACTCGTGAGGGACCTATCGCTGTCCACCCCGTTCACCCAAATACAAACATATCATTTTCTATTCTCACGCACGGCTGGCTTGCTGGTTTAGCTGATTTTTCGGAAAATCCGAATTAGATATCCTTGTTTCCGCATCGATACACTTCCGGCTGGTTGCTGTTCCACTTCTATACGCATATCCCGTATCTAGTTGCGCAAATTACTAGTTTTCGAAACTCCTTTTTAAAATTCGAAGAAGCTTTTCCAATTTTACATATTTTAGGAAAGATATTGAAAACATCAGCGCTTGTTTCTTCACATAAATTGGTCATCGGCCTTTATTTACACATCCAGTTGTGTCCACAGCTTTTCCCTTGTTTCTCATCGTCATGCCCTCATTACGACTCCATATTTCGGCCCTTCATTACGTATATCTTTTCAGCAAAACCTTATATTCCAAACTCGCTGCCTGTTGCTGAAATTACGTAATTTGGAAAGGTAAGTCAATAAAGCAAAATTTTAAAGATTTCGACGGTTATAATCGGGCTTGTTTTTTTTAAGATTCAGTACAATCTAACCTGATGCAAATCCTAAGCCTCAAGAAGCTCACACTTTAGCACACCTTTAAAAACCCCCACCCCAGACAATCCAAATTCCGACACGCGAACATAAGGGGAGAGGTTAGCCTAGCTGGCAGCCGCGACGACATTATTTGTGGTTGGTGGGTGGGTGGCAGGGCGGAGGGTAATCGGGCCGGGTTTTCGGCCCAGGACCAGATCTAACGGCAAATATTAACAGACAGATCGACAGATAGAAAGACAGACAGAAAGACAGACCCCTCCCCCCTCCTTGAATGCAATGTGAAGGTGTGCAAATGAGAACACCCCCTCATCTCCGCTTATCTCAACAGTTGGGCGAGACTAAAGATACTTTCTGGCTTCTAATGGTTGTGCTTGTTAGCCTGGGAAATTGCTATAAAAATTGCTATAAAAATTGCTATAAAAATTGCTATAAAAATTGCTTAGCAATCTTTATCCTGTATGTTTGCCGAATCGCTTAATTTACTGAAATATCTTTAACATGCATTTCCCAAAACCCAAATTTTTCGAGAAAGGTGTCAAGATTTTGGTCTAGAAAAAAATCAGAAAAAGCGCTGCTCCGTCGACCTAAAAAAACTTCCATTAAAATCCCTTTAAAAATGTTTTGCCGGAGCGGTTGTGGGCTTTTTTAGTGTCGCCACTCCTTTAAAATCCGAGACTGACCCCAATTTTCAAGAAAAGTGTGAAGCTTTAATGTAGAATAACTGGAAAAACTGCTTCTTCGGCGACACATCGGTGCTTGCTGGCACCATTCCTTTAAAAGGTCTACAATTTTTGTATTTTGTATCTCTACCGAGAGATCGTCAAAAGGAAAAAACAAGCACCTTTTGTTTTGTGAATTAAGTATTTTAATTGACAAGTTACAGGCAGAAACGGTAAAAATATTTAATTTACGCGACATCGACAAGCTTCCCAGCCGGACAGTTTCTCGTCGAAATTATACCTGTTTAGAACTTCAGAAAAAAAATATGCCTTTTGTGGGAAGCCTTCGTTGGGCGCGCTAGTCCAATAGTATATCCCTCTGCATAAATCCACCCGTTCAACCCGATTGGCCCTCCGGATCGATCGATGCCCCTAAAATCTCTCTCCGCATGCGCCTGTGCCGCTTGCGGAGAGCGCAAACACCCAACCCTCACTACCATCCATATATTCTACATCTCTACCCTCTCCTCCACAAACCCCCACAATTTGAATCCCTCACCCACTGCCCCTCCCCCCCACCGCCAACCGGACCATCTCTACCGGCTTGACGGCGCCATCGGCCCCAAGCCCCTTGACACCACACACACATACACACACAGCACCGCAGAAGCTTTGTCTTCTTCTTCTTCTGCTTCTCGTTGGCCCACCGCACAGTCACACACCACCCACCCCTCAACCACTCATCCACACGTCTCGCCACTTTCAACCCTTGGCCTGGCCCTCATTTTTACCGTTAATTAAGTGGTTTCAAGGGAAGGTGTCAGCAAGTTTTGCCGCGTATTTTATTCCCCGATGTTTTATCGTTTTTTATTAAAATCTTATTGATCCGAGAGCTGTCGATAAGCCTAGAAATTACTAGTCGGGTTTTAGTTTCCTAGATTTTTAGTAATTCTTTTTCTTTTCCGAGGCACTACTCGGCATGCTGGATATGTAGTCACTTTCTTTTTAGTGAATGCTTCGTGAAAAACTAGCGAAAGTTAATCCGCCTACTCTTCTATTGAACTCAAGCATACCCACATTTTCTAGACTTTCCTAGTCCGAACCGGATTTCGCACTTTTGCTGGGGTTTTTGGCCCCAAAAGCGACAATCTGCATTTTCCAAACCGACGCGAAATTCGACTATATTTACTCTTATTATGAATCGGAAGTTTATGGTACTGCTTTTGTTAAACACTAGGATGTAAAATTAGATCTCTGGGGTGCTAGCAAAAACAGTAAATGACACCGGTTTTATTAAATATTTTGAGGGAAAATTAGACTTCTGAGGGGTTAGAGCAAAATCAGTAAATTAATTTTCGTTTTTTGCACTTTTATCTATCTATCAAGCTACTTTTTCAAATATTATCAATAGCATTCCGGAAATACCAGATATTCTTATCAATAAAGCCTATATTTCCAAATTTTTTGCAGGGTTCCTCGTTCACGATGAGCCGCTGGAACATCCTGCCGGCCTCATCCAACAATGTCGCCAACACCAATCCAATCAATTTGCCCACCTATTTTCCGTGAGCCGATCGCAACCAAATCTGCTTTTTTTGATTTCACTCTTGCTTTCCTTTCTTTTTTTTTACTTCCACCTCGAAACCAACCGGCTTCCATTTTTTGTGGGGCCACACCGCCATCGGAATGTCGGGCATTACAGCAAACAATGACTCAAATCACTCTATTCTTCAGCTCTTTTTCCGTTACAGTACTTTTCAAAAAACCCAAATGTAACCTGAATTTAGCCAGAACAGCCCGTCGGCCCAATTGGATATGACCCAGCAGCAGCAGTCCAGTAATAATTTGCGAATTTAGTTTTAATTTTTAAATTCAGGCATCGCTGGCACAAACCCGCTGGAAGTGTATCAACATGGAACGATTGGGAAATTTATCCGCTCTGAGATTGAAGGTATATTAATGGTCATTACCGTACTTGGATACCTTCAGGCACTCAATCCGGCTTCCTGAAATGCATCTATGAAGCGAAACATACGGCGAATAATACTGTGACGTTGCTGTAAGTAGTTTATAACTAACAAATTTTAATAAAAGGTAAATCTCTTATTTGCATTAATTTGTTTATGGTAATTGAGATTTATGGCTGTTGCTGATACTTACGACATTTATTTATGCTATTTTCAGTTGTGAGAAGCGCGAAAATTGCTGCGTTCATGGCTGTTGCCCCAAGGATCAATATTGGTAAGTTCATTTTTTACTTGAAATCTGCATAATTACTATGAATCCATAATATGCAAATTTTTCAGGATGGCCGGTGTCTACGTGCTGCTTGCCTTCGTTTTGCTGGTTGCGCTAGTCGGGACGGCGTTGATGGTGCTTTGTTATATGAGGTTAGAATTTATTTTGGATTAGATTATCTGAGTTTTTCAATTTTGCAAATTAGCGTAAACATAAAACATTAAAAATATTTTTTTCAGGTCGAAAGCGAAGCAAAGAAAAGAGGAACGCGAAGCCTACGAATACGGTGGAAATTATGCCGGATCCCAGGTAATTGGATGCCTTATAATTTAGGATTTTGCAATTCACATTAATTGTAACTTTTATAATTTAATAAATTTTTTAGGTCGGCGCCCCCGGTGCCTACGGTTCCTACATTGGACCAGCTCAGTACTAAACAATCCACCAAACATCCCCCACTTGCCTTCAGTTACAAAACCCGCTCTAAATTACCATATCCGGTCCCCCGTTTAATCGACATGTTCCTCTCCGTCCAATATCTGTTATTTATTTTCTCAGCCTACAGAACGAGCGATGTTTGTATATAATCGACAATATATGCTTTCCGTATAATATGTTTTGATGGTCATGGTGGAGCTTATTTGCATATTATTGGTGCTTTGCCGCGACGATATTCCTAGCCATGCAAATTATCCTCGAATTTTGGCGCTATTTGCTCAGCAGAATAAAGATGATTTTGGTTATTCAGCTAAACTATGGTATAAATTTTGGTATAGGGCTCCATTTAAGTCCGAATTTTCGGGCAATGCTTCATGCATTATTTGCCCGAATCTTAATCCCAGGTGTCTCCAGATGTGAGTATTAACTGGATATCTCTGGGATGTAGTCTGCCCTAGCAACAGCCGCTTCTCAGCTCCGGCTCATCTGGATGAGAGAGAGAGAGAGAGAGAGAGAGAGAGAGAGAAAGGAGGGACACATCCGGATACACCTACGCGTGCACACACACCCCAACCACATATACCTACAATTATCACCTTGGGACCCCCCCACCAAATACCCGGCTGAACGTAATCTTCTTGTGGTGGGGCGTACACAGGTCTACTTGATCTGTAACATCATTATAGCAGGTTTTTGGATTGATTTTGGGGTTGATTTCTGAAGTTTTAGCAAAATTATCTTAAAACAATAAAAAATGTTATCTAAACTCGGGCCAATTTCCATATTTTTATAGTTTTGAAAGCAAAAATTGTCCCGTGATTGTAAATTTTTCAATCCGAATTTCCGCATCAAAATCCACAGGGGCGTAGCTAGAAAAAAATTTCGGGGGGGGCCCCGAAAATTTTTTTTCGAAAAACTCAAAAATTAACGAGAAAATAGCGCCGCAGGCGAAAAATTTTGGAAAAAGAGGCTATATAGCTCTACAAATAGCAGTAAAAACGTGAAAAAATAACGCCGCAGGCAGCAAGATTTTTGAGAAAATAAAAATCATAAGGGTCCCCCCTTATGAAATTTTCGGGCCCCGGCCGATTTCGGGGGGGGCCCCGGGCCCCCGGGGCCTGTATTACGCTACGTCCCTGAAAATCCAGACAGTCATTTTCTGACTTCATTTTTGTCAAATTTCCCGTGACAAATTACCTACCTGATGCACTCGGGGAATTCCCAGGCAGTGTGTATTTGTGTGGTGTGCCCCCCGGTGGGTTCTCGAGAACATCCCCAGCAGGCATATGGCCGTTAACTTGAAAATGAGGCTGTGGAAATGGTTGGGGATGAAAAACTGGGTACGGGGTCCCCATCCATTCCTACACAAATACAATCTGTTGTTATGGAATGTTACTCTAGCCAGCCAATAAAATATTTTTTTTGAGAAGTAGATGTTTCATAAAAACTCGTATTTTGTGTAGCGCGCTGATATGTATGCAGTTATTTTGATAACATTAAGTGCCTAATGACACGCCATCCTTACTGAATATGCTGACGGAATTAGCATGAAAATGCATCCATAAATCCACACTTATATAGAGATACCGTACGATCTCACACTGACAAGATGAGACAAGTAGAATTTTTGACTATGTATTTGCTATGGATACGGTACGTTATGAACCTCGTTACGCACGTTGCACATTACGCAAAGCAAAGCGCAGCGTGCTCGTTTAAACGGTAAAGCCATCTAGACCGTAGCTACGCGTAACCTTAATTACTTATAAAGATGCATAAGATCTTGTTATACTAATTTTCCTCCCTTAAAAATTGCCAAGCCTAACAAGCGCAAAAGTCATCCCCTCTCCAAAATTCATCCCAATTGTATCACCCCGGAACGCCATCCAGTTGATTTTCCGCCCATTTCAATACCCTCATTCTACGCTCGACACGCCGCCGGGCCATATATTGAGGATGTCATTCTCGTTGAGGAATACTTTGTAGAGTGATCGCTTTCCCAGGTCTCTCTCTCTCTCTCTCTCTCTCTCTCTGCCAAACCGCGTGTCTTCATTCCCTATGAATGCTTCCCCCACCAACCAGCTGTCCGGCCATCGCCATCCCAGCCAAATTAACATTCCGGGGTGCTCGCCTTTTTTCTCGGATGGCCCGTCATTTTTTGACGTGGTAGACGAACGGGGATTCGGATTAGTTGTCGCCAACGCGAGGGCGATGAAGAGGATTTTAAAGGATTGTAAAGGAAGATTGGCGCTGTGTCACTTGTCACTTGTGGCAAAAAGTGGCTACATCGGCCCTCAAGCCTGAGAAGACGTCGGCTTTTTCCGATTTTCAGGGATTTTCAGGTACAGCATTGTACGGTAGTTGAAAATGCGCGTTTAACTGGCTTAAACTAGCGTAAGTTAAAAATAACAAAAATGCAGGATATGGAACTGACCCTTCTGGTGAAAAAAATATAAACGATAGTTTATGAAGTTGCCAAATCCACAAATGGCCGCCTTTAAGGCTCGCTGCTACCGTATACCTTAAAAACAAGCACTCACATACCCGCCAATTTTGCATAAAAACCCAAAATAAAATTAGATCTACATCCGTCGTTGTGGCAATCCCCAAACATTTCTTAAAACTGAAGTCTTCAACCCCTCCAGCGCAGCCATCTTTAAATTATGCAAGTGTTTTGAGAAGGATTTCCTTACTCCTCTTCCTCCTCATTCGTTCTCGAGCTCCTTCTCCCCTGGCCTTAAAGTGAGCCTTTTTGGCATGGCGAACCGGGTCTCTGGGAAGAACCGGGAGGGGTGGGTCTAACACGCAAAGTGTCCCTAAAAACAACGGCCCTCCATTTCGTTTGGCCCTCGATTTTGCGGGGTGTTCCTTTTCGGGTGTTCAGATGGTAAGCAGCGAGGGATTTTTAACGTGTAGTGTTTTTATAAACGAAAAAAGCTTTGAACACCGGTCCTCCGACTAGCTTTCTATATTTCTCTCCCTTTCTCCCTAGCCCTCTCTCTCACTCACACCCTCTCCCGCTCTCTCTCGCTCCCGAAAAACCCCTGCCAGCATGCCTATTGAACCAGAATTTCGTAACTGAACAGTTCCTGAAGCTTTTTTGCTGTTTCGCTTATTTCTTGCTCTCTCTCTCTCCCTCTCTCTCTCTCTCTCTCTCTCTCTCTCTCTCTCTCTCTCTCTCTTTCCCTCTAACCTCTTTTTCAACCCACAATCTCATTTACCCTATTTTTTACTATGGTTTTCGTGAGTGCCTTAGGTGGTGAAAGGATTGCCCCCATCCTTCCTTTCCAACCCCTTCTCAGCCCATCTTTTTAATCCGGTCCCCCGGTCAATTGGCGGATGCTCGAGCTTTTCGACCAAAACGGATCGAATTTCTATTTCGGAAGTCGGACGCCTGGAGGAAGGGCGCATTTGCCTAATCCACCATCTTTGGATTCGGTTCCGCTCCACGGGGGATGATCTTGGTTTGGTTTAGAAGTTGGCATTCAGCCTAGCGCTATAAAAACATCCGTCGGACATCTATGCATTATATCTAAAATTTGAATACGCAAAAATAAGTTGGATCGAACGCCTTAAGCTAATATGTCAGAAAACTGTTATGTCACCCATTTTAATAGATTCACCGATTTAAAAGCATGAATTAAGCGCTTTTAGGGAACCTTTAAATGGCTAGTAGAAAATATAAAATCTGCTTCCCCACCCATTTTTCTTCAGTAATACCTGTGCCCCGGCTCGTTGTCTCCAGTCTCCCCCCGTTTCAAATTGGGTTTGGTCGACCCGTTGGTTGCCCTCCCAGGTGGTCTCCACTTCATTTACCCGCCCAAGGACCAAGCCCTTTCCCCCACTAACCATTCCACTGAAAACAGCTTTCCTCCAACCTCTCCCGACGCACACCACCAAACTTTCGGGTTGGCTGGGTGCCGACGTAAAAAATGAATTTCTTGCTGTTGTGCATTTTTGCAAGAAAATTGTTACAATTTTTGATTTTCGATTGCCCTCGAATTTATTAATTAGAACCGTAACAGGCATACCGTATTTTTATGTGAATTCTGAAGCCCTGATCCCAAAAATTCGCAGGCCTATGTTATCGGTACTTCGCAGTTCGATTTCTCTTTACTTCTCTCCCTCTCTCCCCCAGCTCTATCTTTCTCTCTTTCTCTCTCTATCTCTCTCACTCGCTCTCTCTCCTCTCTCTCTCTCTCTCGCTCTCTCTCTTCCTCTCGCACCCTATATGTGTCTCTCGCCCTCGCAATCCCCCAAGTCCCGTTAAAATCAGTGGCTCAAAAATTGACAGTAGCTAGCACTCAGCAATGCTTCAAACACTCCAATCCATCCTCCCAGTCCAATCCCATTTTGATCCAGTTAAATTCCGAACAATAACTAAGCCACCCTCAGCCCCTCCCCCCTAAAAATGAAGTATGTTATTTTGGTGGGGGAGGAGTCGAGGAAACGATGATTACTCATTACTCGGAATCCGAAGAGCTGGAGCCGGTCGTCGTCATGAAGAGGGTGAAGGAAGAGGGGGAGAAGAAGCAGAAGAAGAGAAGGGAAGGGCCCTCGAAATGCATTCCAAATCACCCCGACTCGACGACGAGGAGGACGACGTTGGCGTCCACTGCTCCGACACTCTCACACCACGGCTGCAACTCGTATGAGGGTTGCTGTTTTTGTTGGAATGACCTTGGTCTGCACTTTTCGGTGTCAAGTTGTGGTACTGTAATTTTTGAAAAAATGACGCGACTATCTATGTCTTTCTCTCACTATCCCTCTATCTGACTGTATCTCGCTCTCTCGCTGTCTCTCGCTCTCTCTTTCTCTCTCTCTCCCTATGTATCTCTGCCGCACTCTCTCTTTTTCGCTCTATCTCGATATGTCTCTCTAGCTCTGTCTCTCGCTCTATCCTTGTATCTCGCCCTCTCTAGCTCTCTCTCGCGCCCTATTTGTCTCTCACTCCATCCCTCTAGCTCGCTTTCTCTCTCACCCGATGTCTTTCTCACTCTCTCTTTCTGTGAATATCTCTTTCGCTCTCTCGATCTCCCGATGCATTTTTCTCAAAAAATCAATGCTAGCTTACCCATCACAGTCAACGTTCCGAACCCAAATTCCCCTCCAAAAATCACAAGCTAAACCTCAAATCCGCATCCACTCCAGCATTCATCTTTCTTGGCACGTTGCCAACAACACCCACGTGGGGGGTGCCTCGCGCGAATATCCGGCCGACAAAAATCTTAGCAACAGTCCCCGGGCCCGGCAGCGATGTTTTATTTAATGACACCTGTCGACGTACATTCTGCTGTTTCTATTTTCACGTAACCGCCCCGACACGGTGGCCATCCATCTTTGACGTCCCCTCACTATACACCCACAACCATTCCTTTTCCTCCAACCCACACACAAGGGTTGCGACGACAAAGAACATGGGATGCCACTGAAAAATGGCACGTGAACAGTCGCTGATGAATATTTTACAGGACCACGGGATGCATGACGTTTTTTTTCTAGCTTTTTAAAGGTATTCCAAGTGTTTTGGTCAAGGGCTTTGGCTTTGAATGTGTTTTGGAGTAAAAATTGCTTATCGGGGGATACTATCTTCAATAGCTCGCTATCGAGCAGTGAAAAATTATATATCAGATTTGATGTTGTCGACTTTTCGTGTGATTGTCGTGACTTTAGAAGTCCAATTCTATAGAAAATCGAAAATTCAAATGTGTAATTTCCGCTCTAAATGCTTTATTTAAAATTATTATTTTATGATGGAAGTGTTTAATTGATTAAAACATTTTCGAAAATAGGCCTTTCGAGCGCTTGGCATTTACAAAATTTGAGACATCCCGTTATTCGCCGACCCCCCCCGTTAAAAAAATTTACCTCATTTCCGGTACTGATGACGCTACGAAAGTTTTTGAATCACCCATTGAATTTCTCCCTAGGCTTCGATCTTTTTTCCGTACCACCATCCCTTCCGCATTACAATACCAAAAAACCACCCCTACCCCGGAACTACCAATTGAATTTTAGCAGCCCCTTGAAAAGCCTTGTAGAGTCAGCCATAATTGTCCCCACCACCATCGCCAGTCGCACATTCTTTTGGTATAAGCCAAGCCGGGGGCGCCGGAATCCCTTTTTATTGGCCAAAATGGGGCTTCCGGTCGGATGGAAAAGCCCTGCTGCCCTCCCAGACGACGTGTCGGCCGCATGCTTCTTTCAGCGGTCGTTAGGTGTAAAAAGTGTTCTGATGTCGGGTTGGGGGATACTACACTCAATTGTATATGCTAAACTAACATAGTTACCGTCTTTTGTAATGTTATTAGTTTTATTTTAAGCCATGCAACCTTGCAGTTTTCACATTTATTTAATTCTTTTTATTAAATGTAGTCTAGCACCAGTGTGCATCAATCAAACCCTGGGAAATTCCTTTCCACCCCGCAGCAGGTGAATTTATGCAATTTCTGCGGTTTGGGAACACTGAACTCAGCGTCGGCAATTTTGAATCGACGCCCATAGGCACCTGCCACAATTTGCGCTCTCTGGAAAATGCAGTGGAGCTGTACGTAGTTGTTCATTGGAGCGCTAGAGTTGATGAAAGATCAGTTTTAAGACAGGCATTGAGGGTTAGAAGTTCATCAGCTGTTCGTTCCCCGGCTTTCGGTATTTGATTACATCTTTCGGCAAGATATTAAGCATTACATTGCTTAAGGAGGCTTGTTTCATGGAGGTACACTATAGACTAGAAAAAGGCGATTAAGCCTGAGCATGAGCTTAGGTTAAGCCTAAGTTTGAAGAAGATACCAAATCTGGAACCAAGTCTAAGCCCAGGTGATGACCAAGCCTCCTCCTCCCTCCTTTTCGCAACACGTCACCGATCCAAATTTTCAAAATGATCTCCCCCCTCCCTCGTCAATCCATCCGGAGAACCCATCCAACCATCGTCGAATTATTAATTCCAGCGGTCAGAGGAAATGCCACCTCCTCCGAAATCCCAAAATTCGCACCCCCCACCCCCCTCATCGCGTGCGGTATTCGCTTTGACTTCCAACCCCCGATCCTCATCCCCCTCCACCCCACACCTCTTAGCATCCCTCCCCAAAAAGACCCGGGTGTGATGACATTTTTTTCGCTTAACGCGTGATCTATGCATATCCGGGGGCCCTAGGTTCGTTTTTGAACGCTGAGCTCACTTTCTTTCTTGCGAATCTGAGGGGGCCAGACTTTTGTTTATAGCCCCTGCAATTGCGGGCGCTTCCCCGGTTATGTTTATAGAAATTTTTCAGCATTCTTTTGGCAATTCTTGGTTTTTCGGCGGGGGTTATTGGCTAAATCAATCGATGTTTCCCTAGGGGCAGGGTTTTATGCAATTAAAGCTGATTTTATTAGGTTAATTGTAGAAACAAGATAATACGGTGTTTCATGGGTGTTTATATCTATTAAATATGGTTTTTTTTTAACTAATATCGTTGCTTAATGCTTGACTGCTAGGGCCAATCATTCCCAAATGATCTCTGCTAGTTTGCCCGATGTCTTAATAATATCAGATCTTTAAAATTGGATCTTATCGTTATCGATATCGTCGTTAAAGCTCAAATACTAAATATTCCCTACTCCGGTTTTTCCTAAATAATCTGCCTCGCCCAGTCTTTCCTTAATGCGCCCTTAACAACCATAGCTATTGTAGACCTTATCAATACTAATATCGTTCCACAAAGCGTCACTGCTAGCTACCCCTAGCCCTGATCCTCCTCAAATGATCTCTGCCAGACTTCCCCCCACCTTAATTCATCCAGATTTCACCCAAAATTGGTACACGCGATTCCTATCCCCATTCCCCCCAGCCGGTGTGTCCAAACCAGTGTCAGTTGGACGCGGGGAAGGCCCAGAAAAGAGGTGGGGGCCCCGTTTGGCTAGAAAGAGGCCCCTAGAAGACGGGCCCCTGTGGCCTGGCCCCCTTCCACCCGTTTGCCCGGTTGTCCCTAGCTACCCGACTGGCCCACGGCGCCAACGAGAAGAATGCCACCACCACCACCATCGAGTCTCCCTTCTTCTTCTCCTTGTTCGTCTCCATCTTCTTCTGCTTCTGCGTCTTGTGCTCGTTCATTTCTCTGTGTCACACTGACTGTTTTCTGCGTCTTTGCCCCTTTTTCCCGACCAGCGACAATCACATTTCTTTTATTAATGCCTTCCTGAAGGGGGGCACGGATCGGTGTGCTGTCGGCCCAAAGACACCTCGATTTGGGCCGCGTATTATTTTACATGAATGAGGGGGTGGAAATTTGGGGTACGTAGGTATTAACTTACCGTATTTTCTTTAAGGTGAGTTTCGGGTTCGAATTTTTTTTATCATTTAGGCTAGCTTTCAGATCATCCGAAAGACCGACATACGGGAGTGAATGGGTCGGTTTGGACGAATTTCATCAGTATTCTTGAACAGGCGCCGATTTTGTTAAATTATGAACTTATTTCTACCCGCAATTGCATTATGCGCTTAATACGGGATAATTACGTATTCTAACTTTTAAACATAAAACATACCGTCTGATTATTGGTGCTTCACTTTGAAGACTTACCTGAAAATACTTCTGCCATGTTGTGACAGCTGTATTTTATGTAAGCAATTTTACCAATTATCCCTCTCAATCCCCACCTGACTAATTTCCACCTCATCACCTACGGTCACGTAACCCACCTTTCAAAGCCCCCGAGGCTAAGATCAACCGGAAATTGGGCTGGCCATACGCTATCGGGCTGAATTGGCTGGTCATGGGATATAAAGTTTCATTTCGGAGTTGTTGACCATTGAGTAGTTGCGGCTTCCGATAGCTTTATAATTTATTTGATGTAGTTTCGATGTCGAAATCGACCACTTCCGGTGCCAAATCACGTCTCTGCCTTCTTCTGACCTTAAGAAATTACGTGGTCTTGTGGCCGGGTGTTTAAGGGCTTCCTCGTGACTAATTCCGGATTAGTTCTTGAGTACGTAATTTAGACCGAGGCACAACACGACAATAGTGTTGCAGTGGCATGATTTCACTTCTTAAATTTGTATTGTCGCTTATATATCAATTTTTCCATATTTTCTATTAAATAATTATCAATATAATTATTTATTTTCAGACGGGCAACTCATCGGCATCACCCGCTTGTCCATCCGATGCCACCAATCTAGCGGCGGGCCAGGCTGGTTGGGTATGTTTTTTATAGTAGACGCTCCTTCTAGTAACTACTCCTTACCCCCAAACCTAGCCAAAGAGACAATATTTTTTTCGTGCTTCTTTTTATACTCTTCTTCCGTCTTTCCCAGTCCTTCCCCTCCGCCTCCACCAAAGCCTCTTCTAGAAAAATGACCGTGGCCAAGCGGGGGCTAATCGCCCCGCAGAATACCTTCCTCGAGAATGTCATCCGCCGCTGCAACAACACCGGTTTGTTGATAAACAATAATAGAGTTAATGTTTAAAATAACATCAAAAAATTTTGGGGCTTTAAGAGTCCTTGTTCCTCTTTTGTTCCGGTTTTCAGGTGAAAATGCTCGAATTTTTTTGTCTAGCGATTCTGATGATTCAGCCTGTTTTAACTTCAAAATTGGCCCTGATATCGCTGAATTAGCTGCTTTACAGGGCGTTACGACATGTAAAGCCCCCGAATTTTGACTTCTGGGTCCCTTTCGAGCTTTATTCCAACTCAATATACAATGTCTTCTACATTCCTAATCTAATTAACCCCGAAACTCTATGAGAAATACATAAAGCTGGATTACATTTGCTACAACACGTATTCTTACCATTCCAGACACATGCTTCATCCTGGCCAACGCCCAAATCGTCGACTATCCAATTGTCTACTGCAACGATGGCTTCTCGAAGCTTGTCGGCTATTCCAGAGCAGAGATTATGCAGAAGCCGTGCAGGTTCGTCGCGAACACTTAAAAAGTTCGAGTAGTTCCGGGGAGCAGCAGCTGTAAATAGTGCAAAACGGACTAGAACGTTGTTATTTTTGGGGTTAAGGTATACAATTGCATTTTAAAGGGTCAAAGACAGCCGAAAGCAACTGATAAGCCAACTTTTCAGCTTGTCATTCATGTACGGGGATCATTCGGAACAAGCCTGCGTCCAACGGGTCCGTGAAGCACTTGACAATGCGCGAACTGATCAAGCCGAAATTGGACTCACCAAGAAAAATAGTAAAAACTCGTTTAATTCGTCAAAATTAAACTATAGAAACTCAAATCTGGCTTCTCGTCTACATTGCCCCGATCAAGAACGACAAGGACAACGTGGTGCTATATCTGTGCCAATGTAAAGACATCACGCCGTTAAAACAGCCGCTCGACGATGAAAATAACAAAGGTAGGAATATTTATTGGATGCCGTATCTTATTTAAAGTCAGCCTAAAGCTTTTATTTTGACCCTATCTTTTTGGTGGGGCCAAATACCGAAAATTCCGGGTAAAACGGATCTTTTTTGCTCAGGTTTAGCAATTTAGACTGAAAGGCCTAATGCGAAAAACACGTCGATAAAAGCTTTACTTAAATTTTGCAAATTTTTAATAAAGTTTTGACGATTTTGTAAGCCGGGACCTTTTTTTTAGATCACCCGGAGAAGACTATAATCGAAAGGAAGAGCAGATCTTAGGAAATTGAACCAATTTCAGGATTCTCTCGAATCCTCCAAATTGCGCGGATTGCCAAGTCGAAGCAGGCGTTCAACCAGATCGAGACGAAGGATTTACACAAATCCTCGACCCCATCCGCCTCCAACTTCACCCAGGTCATCAAGGTCCCCAGGCTTGCCACCAACACCAACACCCGATTCGTTCTCAACTGGGTTCTATGGTTGGGTTGGGTCCTTTCTCTTAACTTGTTTATTTCCCCAAAACAAACCACTGTAATAGATCAAGAAAATCAACTTAAAATTGACTTTTTGAAGAACTAGGTATTCTAACAGCTCTTCCTCTCTTCTCCTCATTCGGTTACACCATGTAATTCTGCGTAGCGTAGCTTACGTATCTACCTCACATATCCAACGATTCCCCCAACCCAGCCCAACCATAAACCCAGTTTTGTTGTGCCGTGCCACGGCTTCCCACGGTTTCTAGGGGTTCACTCGACCCAGTGGTACTGCCGGCACACTATTCTTTGAGCCGAGTTCAACAATATCGAAATTAAACCTGAACCAAAACTTGAAACTAAAGTTTTAAATAAAATCAGAAACGGTGCGCAACGCAACGAATTTACGTTGTATTGTGCTGCATTTTGGCTGGAAAATTGAAAGCGACTAGTCGAAACTTTAACTCTAGAAAACGCGAAAGTTTAAAACCCTAAATACATCAATATTTAAATTTGGGTTCCGGCAGTACGATTGTGGGTTTATTAAATGGGAACACGGGCTATGAATTCTCAAAAATTAGTAGAGTTCACTTTCTATAGTTTTTCGTTTTTAGCTCTAGAAAATAAGTAATAGATTTGTTAACTAGCCATCATAACTAACCTCTTGGAATTTATTTGAATTATGCTAAACTATCAAAATTTAGAGTTTATTATCAAAATTCTTAGGGCTATTTTGAATTAAATCAAATTAATTAATTTCAATATAAATAGCCCTTGTTCCAAGTATGCCGTGTCTAGCCGCTCCCCCCCCCCCCCGAAATGTCTACCTACCCCCCCACGCTGACTATCCTGCCCCAGTATTTGAATTTTTCCCAAACCCAAAACGTTCTAGCTCAAAAACACAAATGTCGCTCGGAGTGCCGTGGAATCTCGATGCACGCACCGAAAATACATCAAAAACACGTTTGCTTTAGTTTGTCCTCCAAGCCCGGAAATTGGATTCAAATTCAAAACGTTTAAAGTTAAATTTTTAAATTGAGAAATTGTAAATTAGGGAAGCTATTAATTGAGAACAACCGTTCGTCCCTACCGCGTCCTCCTTGCCGTCTTCCCGCTGGGCTATAATTGCTACAATTTGGAACTCGGTTCTTCAGGTTCCGTTTTTGGCCGCTTTCTCTATAGCTTAGGTTAAGCCTGAGCTAAGTATAAGCTAAGCCTAAGCCAAGCCTCCAACTAACCGGAAACTGACTAAAATGCCAAAGGAGCTGCAATCCGAGCCCTAAACTGTAGCAAAATACTCACCACCATATGCAAATCCCAAACAATCGCCTCCAAATCCCCGCCCCCGCCCCACCCCCAATTTTCTTTATTACACCGTACCGAATTTCAGTGGGAGTCAAATGGACAGAAATTTGTGAGTTCCCTTTCTTTTCGGAATGTGTCCAAGCAGAGACGGTGGCACACATGAGGGTGGGCCCGCACACGGCGCGTACAGGGGCCAAAAATCTTATGCTGTTTTGAATAGATGATTTTTTTTGCTAAGCTTATTCTAGAATTTCGATGTATATAGCGCGATAATAACGGAATGTTTGGGTATCGTTCGTACTAAAATCTTTGCCTTCTTATTTACGTTACTAACAAGGAGACGTTTTTAGGTGGGCACGGAGTTTTGTAACAAGACATAGCTCATTTGAAAGCGCTTGAAAAACTGAGAAATATCCCGTTTTCCATTTCTGCGAAACGATAGCGATTGATTTTTAATAATTAAATGAAAGAATTAGCAGAAATTGGCATCTTTCCCCTCGCGCGGAGCGATTTCCTTCCAAAGATCCCCTCTGTCGGAAAGCCAGGCCCCGTCTTCTCTTCCCCATAGCGATTTGGCGCAGTCGGTACGGCGTTTGCCTCTCACGAAATTTTTTTGGACTTTTTGTCAGTTCGACCCCTGAGCCGAGAATTCGTTTTGCTTTTTATTTTAGGAGGCTGAATTTATTATTTATTTGAATTTAATTATCGCAATGCGTTACATAAATGTTCTGAACAGCATCGGTGTAGGCGCAAGCGGGCCAGTTGATTTCAATCCCTGAGACGCGAGTGCAACGCTACCGGTTTGGGGCACGCCACAAAAAAAAATTAATTTTGGACTAGATTTCACGTTTAGAAAGTGTTCAGGAATTAAAAAGCAAAACGAATTCTGGGCCCAGGGGCCGAACTGACAAAAAGTCCAAAAAAAATTCGTGAGAGGCAAACGCCGTACCGACTGCGCCAAATCGCTATGGGGAAGAGAAGACGGGGCCTGGCTTTCCGACAGAGGGGATCTTTGGAAGGAAATCGCTCCGCGCGAGGGGAAAGATGCCAATTTCTGCTAATTCTTTCATTTAATTATTAAAAATCAATCGCTATCGTTTCGCAGAAATGGAAAACGGGATATTTCTCAGTTTTTCAAGCGCTTTCAAATGAGCTATGTCTTGTTACAAAACTCCGTGCCCACCTAAAAACGTCTCCTTGTAAGCCTAAGCTAAGCCTAAGCTAAGCCTAAGCTAAGCCTAAGCTAAGCCTAAGCTAAGCCTAAGCTAAGCCTAAGCTAAGCCTAAGCTAAGCCTAAGCTAAGCCTAAGCTAAGCCTAAGCTAAGCCTAAGCTAAGCCTAAGCTAAGCCTAAGCTAAGCCTAAGCTAAGCCTAAGTTAAGCCCAAGTTAAGCCTAAGCTAAACCCAAGCTGAGCGAAGCTAAGCCTAAGCTAAGCCCAAACTAAGCATAAGCTAAGCCTACGCTAAACCCAAGCTAAGCCTAAAATAAGCCTAAGCGAAGAATAAGCTTAAGCCTAAGCCTAAGTCGGAGCCTATCTCTTGCTGAATATAGAAAAATTCCTAGGCCGTTCGTATTTTTTAGTGAAATATTCAAAACAATTTTATGCAAGTACCTTTTTACACTATTTCAACTTGTTTTAAATGTCACCTTTTTACAATTATATATTATTTAACGAGTTTTTTCAATTACGCTTTAAATACCAAAATTTGCTATTTATTTATTTTTTGCGATAAACCTCCCTGTACAACCCGTCAGCCTTCTCCACCCCGAACGACCCGTCCATGTCGTCGTCGATTTTCCGTTCCTAGCCAAACTACAACCATCGGAAACGCAACTGTTTCTCTCCTATTTTCCGTTTTCTGTCCATTTTCTGTTTTCGCCCCCCGCCGACACTATTATGCTCTATCATTTCCTGTAGGCCGATCTACCGTACTAACAACCTGATCGTGCTCGTCCTTTTCTGTCTTTCTGTTTTGCGAGCAATCTTTCTTTCATTTCAATCACCTAGCCACAAAACAACACTTGCCTTGTTTGCACCGGCCAAAAAGAGTTGGTCTCCAGGAATAGATTTAGTGAAAAAGAGGGGGGATTGAATTGTCTGTCGCCAATAATACGCTACGCAACAATGGACGGACAGGGATTAGGGATATAATTCTTTTGGATCGATTCGGGAATGGGTTTTGTGAATGTTGCTTTACATTATTTTCTAATTTTAGATGGGGTTGTATTTTCGATCGATAAAGCAGGCATTTTGTGAAATATTTTTGTGTGAATTAAATATAAAGTCTGTTTAATTTTTTATTTCTAGAAAATTCATTCGAGAAATGTCTCGTTAACTAGCGTAAAATAGAAAATTTATATATATTTAAATCTTGATTCAAACTGGTTCGAAAATAGGTTGCGGAGATATGCAAATTAACAAATCATGAAAAATTATAATTATCACAAAGCCATAAAAAAGGTTGCGTTAAATTAATCTATGCACTTAAATTTATGTAAATTAGCAAAAACAAAATTTTATAGTAAAAACTAGAAAAACTACTTCTGCGTGCAAATTAACAAAAACAACAAACCAATTCTTAAATTTAACAACTTTAGTTGCCCTCTCCGCACTTCTAAAACTCTCACCATCCTAATTTGGCCCCCTTCCCCCCTATTTGGCGCACTCCGGGTTTGGTCGGTTTGTATGTCGATTTCTCCATTAACTCTTTCTATACATATCATTTTTGTTGATCAATTAGTCATGTCCCGTATGTTTGTTTGTTTGTTCGTTTGTATGTGTGTTTTGCGAACGGTTGTTCAGCCCCTTTTTTGAAGAGACCAATTTTTTTTACAAAAAAAACATCGAACGCTTTCTCGGCGGCTGAATGGGGGGTGGGCACATCTTGGGGGGAATGGGGAACCGGGCCAATTGGGGCGAGTTTAATTTATAAAAGTAAATAAATTCCCCGGTTCTAATAATTTAATTAAACTCGTGCCATGGCTCTTGTGACGCGGGGCGGAAAGTACTGTGTGCCTTCCATTTTTGATGCTTTTTAGGTGATGAACCTGGGCGGGGATATGCTGCCACAATATAGACAAGAAACGCCGAAAACCTCGCCACATATTATTCTACATTATTCGACATTTAAGGTATGATTTTTAGGCGAAATAGCGATAGAGGGAGAGAGACAGAGAAAGAGAAAGAGAAAGAGAAAGAGAAAGAGAAAGAGAGAGAGAGAGAGAGAGAGAGAGAGAGAGAGAGAGAGAGAGAGAGAGACAGAGAGAGCGGGGCAGATAGAGGGAGAGAGCGAGAGAGAGAGAGCGAGAGAGAAAGAGAGAGCGGGACAGAGAGAGAGAGAGAGAGAGAGAGAGAGAGAGAGAGAGCGGGACAGATAGACAGAGAGTGACTTAAAACCATGGTAAGTGGTGTAAATAGGTGCACCTCGTAACTATCCACAATCTTCAATCCCATCTCCAATTTTTACAGACAATCTGGGACTGGTCAATCCTATTGCTCACTCTGTATACAGCATTTGTCGTCCCCTTCAACATCGCCTTCAAAAATCGCTTCGGGGCCCGAAATGAGAGCTGGCTGGAGACGTTCGTTTCCCATGGTCTTCCCAAATCTAACCCTATTTTTTATAGATCTGAATTCCCGATTTTCAGCGGTGCGACGACGTCAGGGATTGATACCCTGGCGCTGGTAGATTCTATCGTTGACGTCATCTTTTTCGCTGATATTTTATTGAATTTTCATACGACTTTTGTGGGCCCTGGGGGCGAGGTATGGATTTTAAAACGACTGGGAAGGGACGACTATGGATCTTTGCAGCTCACTTGGCAGTCATTAAGTGTCGTAATCAATTACGTCATAAAAACGAGCGCGTTGCGTGTTCCGTCTTAAAAAAATCCATTTTTATGCCTTGCCTGCTCCTTTAAACCTTTAAAACATAAGCTTTCTATACCAAATCTATATTTCAGGTCGTCATCGAGCCGTCTGTAATCCGACAAAACTATTTTAAATCCTGGTTTTTAATAGACCTATTATCTTGCCTACCCTATGATATATTTTATATGTTTAAAAAGGATGACGAGGTACTGAAGAAAATTTGGCCGTGATAACCAAATTTTTTAGCGAATCGGCAGCCTATTCTCAGCATTGAAAGTAGTTCGATTGCTGCGGCTAGGGCGGGTAGCGAGAAAAATGGACAATTATCTGGAGTACGGGGCGGCGACGCTGTTGCTACTGCTGTGCGCCTATGTATTAGTGGCCCATTGGTTGGCCTGTATATGGTTTAGTATTGGAGAATATGAAGTACGAGTCAAGGTAGGGGTAATGGTATTGGTATGCAGTTTAATTTAGTTTGAAAATCCGACATTCCCCGACGGGTGGCTGCTGAAATTGTCTCGAGACCTGAACGCACCATTTGGAAACGGGTCGACAAAGACGAGGATATTGGGCGGACCGACAAAATGGAATTGTTATGTGGCTTGTAGGTTATTGGACCTAAATTGCTTAAAAAGCCTAGTTTTTTATGGAGGAGCGACGTAGTTTTTATACATTACGTAAATTCGGTCATAATGGTCTTCGACACAATGAAAATTTGGCTAAACGGATTTTTGTTTTCTAATTCTTTGATTTTCGACGCAAAAATTATCTAATTTTCGACAAAATAAAAATATTCGTGACTAATATTAAGGACGCGATGCGCCAATTGGTTGCCAGTCTGGTTTTTCTGCGACACACGTAATTTGCTATATTTTTACAAAAATATTTTATTTAAAATGGCCGTTTGGATGACTTTACCGCTTTCTAGAAATGTTTACTTTCAAGTTTCCCACGTGTCTGTATTGTGTACTCCAGCCTTCCAGCCGCCTGGGCAAAAAGCAAAACTTTGGAGGCGCTTGGGTCCGAACCAAGGTCTTCCTGATTTGCGCTGATGAGTGTGGGGGACGTCAGGTGAGAGATCACCTGGTCAGGAACCCCAAACCTGACAACATTTACTTTACTCAACTTCGCAATCAGGCGCTCTACCACTGAGCTACGCCCCCGGGGAAGCGGGGGCCTCGAGCGAGGTTGATAGCCATAGCCGCACTAATAGAACCCACAGCCGGCACCCCATGCTGCCACAGGCACCCATTCCCGGCACCCCTGTGGCTCAGTAGGTAGCGACGGCGACTCTCGTTCTCGGGGTCGAGGGTTCGACACCGGCCCGGAACAATTTTTTTTTTCCTTTTTGGCTCATTGGCTAGGCATTGTTTTTGCTGGCTAGGAATAGTAGTAGAAGGCGTCGCAAGCGCAAAATTTTTATAAATAAAGGCGTTATTCTCACAAAAAGAGTACAAGCTCCTAGGCAAAATAGGATCGTATCTGAAAGACCGGTTGTTTTGGCTTAATTCATCCGCTCAAGAAAAAAGAATATAATATAACCAACCCAAAACAATATAATTTTTTATTCGCTGTCGATGATAGACACCGTTTTCTATTGCCTATTCATTGTCGTCATTTTACTTTTTACACAATACAGACACGTGGGAAACCTGAAAGTAAACTTTTCTCGAAAGTGGTAGAGTCATCCAAACGGCCATTTTAAATCACAATATTTTTGTAAAAACATAGCAAATTACGTTTGGCGCAGAAGAACGAGACTGGCAATCATTTGGCGCATAGCGTCTTTAATAGTAGTTTCGTGTTCGGAAACCTAGAGAAAGCCAAAAAATTATCACTTGGCACGTTGGGTTCATCATTTGCATAGCCTTTTGTAAATTTTTTTCGAAATTTCACGCTAATTGATTTTTATTTATCACAGATTTCCTGAATTTAAATTATATACTTCATAATATGTTTTGAACGGGCTCCGCCACTTCACAAAACGTTTAAGATGTCATGATTCTTTCAGCTCTATATTTTACAATGAGCTGCATGTCAACCGTTGGATTTGGAAATATTGCCAGCACAACAGATAGTGAAAAGGTAAATTTTTAATACGCTCTTTCACATCTATCGATTTTTTAGGCTTTTGCGGTATGTATGATGATAATCTCTGCATTACTGTATGCAGCGATTTTTGGTCACATGACGACAATTATTCAGCAGATGACCTCAGCTACTGTCAGGTTAGGAATTTAGGATTGGTACCGACAACTAAAATCCGTTATTCCTGACGATGGTTTATTAATAATAACATTTAGATACCACGACATGATTGCAAACGTCCGAGAATTTATTAAATTGCAAGAAGTTCCGAAAGAATTAGCAGAGCGGGTGATGGATTATGTAGTCTCGACCTGGGCAATGACGAAGGGCATTGATACGCAAAAAGTGGGGCTTGCATTAATATATGCAATTAATAATGTTTTTAGGTGCTCAGCTACTGCCCAAAAGATATGAAAGCCGACATATGTGTGCATTTAAATCGAAAAGTTTTTAACGAGCATTCGTGCTTTCGGTTAGCATCTGATGGATGTCTCCGGCAGCTGGCTATGCATCTTGAGGTATGGATGATTTTTTGCTGATTGATACGATTAATTACTGTATCATCCATGTATATTTTAAGAGCAACCACGCGGCGCCCGGTGATCTCCTCTACCATACCGGGGAGAACGTCGATGCGTTGTGGTTTGTAGTCTCCGGCTCGCTTGAAGTAATTCAGGACGAAGAAGTTGTCGCCATTTTGGGTAGGTCTAACATTTAAAGTATTTTAAGCGTAAGGCAGTAAAGTAATAATCCTTTTTGATACGCACTATTGACACTTTCAGGTCGTGGCGACGTCTTCGGCGATGAATTCTGGAAGTTGAGCGGCAAAACGGGGCAGAGCGCAGCCAATGTCCGAGCTCTCACCTACACCGATTTGCATATGATAAAACAGGAAAAATTAATGGAGGTAAGGTATCGCGAAGTGCGGAGCGTTCTATGTTACCTGTACAGGTGCTCGATTTTTACAAAGCGTTCGCCAACTCATTCGCGAGAAATCTTGTGCTCACCTATAATCTGACACATCGGGTATGCTCTTCAAAAAGTTTTAAAATGCATCTTTAAGCGATAATATGTTTGAAGAAATAAGTTTAATGTATTTCAGATGAAATTCCGAAAAGTGGTTGACGTCAAACGAGAAAAAGAACTTGACGCAAGAAGGAAAAACGAAAAACTAACCCTGGATCCGGAACATCCGGTCCGAAAACTGTTGTATCGGATGCGGGAACGACACGGACCCCGGATACAGCCTACTACTATTTTTAATGATATAGAAAAGGTAGTTAGTTTTTTTGCTAACAACCCGAGGTTCATTTATTAAAGGGTTACACAAGACGGGCTGACGTCAATAGAGTTTCATCCGTACATTCAATGGTGGATGAGACTAATATGTTGAAGTCTGACTACGATCCCAAAAAGTAAGGCTCTTCCAAAGTGTGTTTAAATTAAAGTATCTTTGAAAATAGATTAAGTTCTACAAATTTAGATCTCCCCGTAGTCGGCGACGGCATACACTCCAAAAACGACAAACTGTTGATGAAGATGCTCTAAGCAGAAGCGCTAATTGGAGTGAAGCCAGTGGTCCATCACCAGGTCTCAAAAATAGAGTATGTTTTTGCTAAAAATACTAGGATGCTATTACTAACAGAGATACCAGAAGGATCAGTTTATATTTGTGGGTTTTACCATCTCACTCCGATTTTGCCTTCCTGCTTTTTATAATTTGCCTACCTAGAAAAGCATGCTACGATGAAAAATGTTGACTTTTAGGAATGGAGCTCGATGGCGCAGTTGAGAAGTGATGTCAATAATCGGTTAAACGAGCTGAATGAGAAGATGGTCACTGTCGATTTGATATTGCAGAGGATGTCGAATCTGGAGCGGATATTGTTATCGCCGCAGGGAAGAGGTAAGTTGATGAATTGGCCCTTGCTGGCACGCTCCCTTTAAAATATCTCTAGATTTAATTTAGCTCATTACCAATTCCAGATTTAGCTGGCACTCCCTCAACACTGCCCGCCAGCTCATTCCAAGGAGGTCTAAATGGATCGTATCTTGCCTCCCCGGCCAACCTCGTTCAAAGGAGCGTCAGCTGGAGTGAGCAACAACCCGGTTGGGCTCCACCTGGCCCGTCACAACCGGTTGGTTTCTCGGCGAAGTTTGAGCCTGGGCCTAAGCCTGAGCCTAACCCTAAAAACATAAACAATCAAACCTCACAGCAGGTACCACCGCTCGGCGAGCTCAGAAGTTCGAACTGGGATACAGAAGATTCGTCCTACAACCCCGATCAGGTATAAAAATTTTATTTTGGGCTTTATTCTCATTCTTCTTTTTTAAAAACCACTCAAGGTATCACCCACTTCACCAACAATAACCGAATCACGGGTCTGAGCCGTTCCACCCCGGTGCACAACTACGGTATCCCCCCACTGGTGTCATTTAGGGGCTTTTTGAACTGGGTGCTTTGGACCCATTGCGTTGCTGTGGTGTTTTAAAGGGATTGTGAAGGCAGGAAATGCGAGGCGCACCATCTAGCAGCCACGTAATTATATAACTCTGCCTTCCTAGTTCCTTTAAAAATGTAGGAAGGCTTTCAACTGAGGTATTTGGGTGTGAAATAGGTTTTAAGATCCCATTAAATCCGGAAGATCTGTCCCCCTGCTTGCTACCCTGGATGTAAACTAAATTGTTGCTGAAAAATTGCCGATATTTTTTAAAACATTTTCTAGGTGCCAACGATCCACATCGATACAGATACTGAACGATCACCCAGCCAGCCACCTCAACGGCCACGAATTTAAATTATAAAAATTTCCCCCGATCTCTACGGGACCTCTTTCTCCTTTCCACCTTTCTCCTCATTACAATTCCCTTTCCCCCAACCAATCCGGGTCTTTTCTAGGACCCTCAACGTCACAGCAATAAACAGATCTCTATCTTTTGCTATCTGCTGCTCTCACTTCCTATACTTTTTGTCATTCCTAGATTAATTCTAGTCAGAGAAACCGAGCGGATCCTCCCATGCAATACCCGTCCTTCCCCCCACCCAATGTGATGCTCAATCGATTTATTCATTTTTCTAGGTTTTCGAAATTCCCATTTTACAAAATGTCCCACAAAAATTGCCCCGCCGCTTTCGAATGGGAATGTTGTTTTCATTGCTGAATAGCCCGAAATTCACTTTTTCTTTGAAATTTTAAAAAGATTTTTGGAAATCTACGATTTCCAACGGCACCCCATATATTGTGATATGTTCTTTATGTTATTCGAAGGATAAATTTATTTTCACACCATATTTCTGGAAATATCACAAATTCATTAAAACTGAAAATTGATAAGCATTTATCCGAGCACCTGGCCGACGATTTGGGAGGCCAGACCGAAACCGCCGGCTAAAAAAATTTAAATTCTTTGGAATAACATTAATTAAATCCTAAACTTCACGTCAAGCTCCGACTTTCAAAGCACTCAAATTTTCAAATAAAATTAAATGCAGAAGGAAATCGAGAGAAACGCATGCAACATTTTTACCCTTATGGTCTCCGATGATGGAAATCTTCCACGAGATTCCCTAAGGGTTTATCGTATATTTAAAACTGAATGCAAAATAGTATCTATAATTTTTTGCTTAATGTTTTTTCAATATACAGGGTGTCCCAAAAAAAAACCCCCCTCGGCATTTGACCGTCTTCTATCGGATCGGGGCCAAATTTTTACTAGTGATGCGGACCCATAAAAACTATGTGCAGCCAAATTTTCTAAGCAAAATATTGTAAAACCAAAAAGTTATCGCTTAAAAACTGATTTTTGGAGAACGTTGGTACTCGTTTTTGGCTATGTTTTCGCAATTAGCATGCGGATTTTGAGTAATTTTCCAAAAAATGGTCATTTCTCGGTCAGTGTCTGGCAATTTCGATAATAAAAAGTGATCGAAAGGCCCCATTTAAACGTAATTTTCGTAAATGAAAAAATTTCCACAGGTAGAAAAGAGCGCCCTCTTCATTTTTGCTAAACATTTCGAGGCCGAAATCCGTCAAAATCCTAGTGAAATCGGCAAAATAAACCTTAATTTTGATATATCTTCTTTGTTTTACAATATTTTGCTTAGAAAATTCGACTGCACATAGTTTTTATGGGTCCGCATCACTGGTAAAATTTTGGTCCCGATTGGATGGAAGACGGCCAAATGCCGAGGGGGGTTTTTTTTTTGGGACACCCTGTATAATTTTCTAGAAGAATAGCTGCACTCACGGGGTGGTGGTGGGCCATTGAAACCGCCATGACCGCCGCCCCGTCCTCCGCCAAAACCTATAAAGCGACTAAAATTTATATATAAATTCTTCTTATACATAATAGCGCATAGCTTAATTTTTGTGATATTTATAAATTTATAGTTCACCTCCATTTCGTCCACCGTTGCCCCAGTTATCTAAACAAATCAGAGCCTGAATTTGTGGCGTGAAAAACTAACCTCCACCTCCGCGGCCACCATTGTTCCAGTTATCTGAAAGGGCAAGAAGATTAAGATATTATTTTATGAAAATATTGACAATATTAATAATAGCAGTATTTAAAAGGCTAACCTCCACCTCCGTGACCTCCATGACTGTGCCCGCCGAAGTTTCCATTGTTATTTCCGCCCCATCCATTGTTGTTGTTTCCTAAAACACAGATTTTAAATGAAAACTAGAATACCGCCAAAACCACCTCCATGACCTCCTCCATTATTGCCGTTGAATCCTAAATTCAAATAGATTGTGTAATTTTAAGATTACCTCCACGTCCTCCTCCGTTATTGCCTCCCCAGTTTCCATTGTTGTTTCCGCCGAAGCCTAAAAATTAATATATAAGTCTTTATATCTAATATTATTAAATATTGTAAAATATTATCTTTTTCAAAAGGTTTTGCTGTGCTATATTCAGATGCAGGCCGTACAAAAACCTGGATTTCTATTTTCTCGAGACTCAATCAAGCTCTAGAAACGGCAACGCCACGAGCCGTTTGGCGCGTTGCGTAGCCAACGACTCCTCGACAGCCTCTTAAAACTGGAGTCTACTCTTCCCATTTGCGCAACTCCTATCCGTACATTGTACTGTGTACTCGACTCTATCCCTTCCCATGATATCCTGATGTCTTTTCTTCCTTGTTCTTACCACCTCCTCCATTATTTCCGTTCCAGTTGCCGCCACCTCCACCCTGCCCGTTCCAGCCACCGCCGTTTCCGGGCCCTCCGTGTCCACCGGATCCGCCCGGTCCGTTCCAGCCGCCACCTGAATTTATGAAATATCATGTAAAGATACACTACGATAATTTAGCTCTATACCATAGAAAATACCCAAGTCTGAAATACACCAACCAGGCCCATTGTTCCATTGGGCCACAGCGACGACGATTAGAACGGCAAGCAAGAGATAGGTCCTCATCTGAAAAAATGTTGCATAGCTATCAAAGCGCCGTAAATGGCAGAATTAAACAAAAACACAGGAATACACAAATAAAGTGAATAGCTCAGCTCTCTGAGCAACAACTATGGGTTGGATCCGACTGGAAGACAATTGCTAAAAATCATAAACATTCGATAATCGAAGCAGCTTACAAGGAATCGAGCTTAAAACTACCCTAGCAACCCCTGGCAAGCCTATGCAAGGATGCCAGCCGCCTCCACGGCCCTAAAATGATGGTATGCTGATGATTGGGAAGTGACCAAGTGAGGGAATGGATGAGATAAGATGGCAAACATGTCAAATACACCATATGCCCCACCCACCCCCAACCACCAAAACCCTTCTCTTTTCCCCCGTCGGTTGACATCTCGAACGGGGCGACGATGCAGAACGGGGCCAATCATAAAAAAGGTACGCAGGAATTCCGTGCAACACACCGTACCTTGCTATCCGATAAATTGAATTTAACCTCAACTCGGGTGAAGGGCGAATCTGAGTGAAAATACACCCAGGTAAGACCTATTTTTTACATACAACAGGATATAAATTAAGAAACTAAGCCAAGTTACGGTAACTCTTTCGCGTGATGATGTCAGGAACAAGTCTGAAATTCACCCAACCCAATGGATCCTATCAAAGCAATGGCCTTCCCGCATTTTTCCCGCCACTTATTTCCCGCCCGCCCGCTTCACGCTACCCTCTTTGCATCTCTTGATTTTCTTTCCATCTCCTCGTGATCCGGAAATTCCTCTCCGATTTGTGGGTCAGAGGTAATTTATCACCTTTGCGCTCTGTAAGGCCAGCGACCGATTTTCTTCCGTTTTTTTGGGGGAGAAAGACGGATGCGCGACACTTCCTCTTTCTTGAAAGAGAGAGAGGGATAAAACTAAACTAAACCTAACCAAAGGCTAAGCTAGCCTTAAGCACCGCCTAAGCTAAGACGAGCTAAGCGAGCACCGGACTCAAGCTAAGCCTGAGATAGCCTAGGGTGAGCCAAATTGAGCATAAGCTAGCTAGCCCTACCAAGCTTAATCCTAAACTAAGGCGTATGCCCAAAATACGCTAGGATTCAAAATTATGTCCAATATACCGTAAGCTATCCAGAAAATACCGAATTTCCGCAAATCCCATTTCCCATTTCCGGTGAAACTGTGTCAACGCCACACCATAAATCTTCAAAATCGCCTGAACCCAGAATCCAACATCGTATACTAAATACGCCTCCAAATTGCACGTTATTTCCAAGCCGTACCGTCGATAAAAATCTTCCGCGGATGCCCCCAATTCCCGAAAAAATCCCTCCGAGGCCTGTCGAGATTGAGTTTTCACGCCCCGGCCTCCCGGCGCTCAACCGGCTCCCACTTCCTCATAACAATTCATCAACTTTTTTGGGAGAATGTTGGTGTTCGACTCGGCCAAAAATTGTTGCGACCTGTTTTGAGGCGGATGGGCTTTTTTGAGGGCCGGGGGGATGTGGGGCGAGTTAGAGCTTATAGGGTGGATTTGGGGAAGGGTTGGTGCCGGTGGTGGGTAAAAAGGGGCAAGAACTGATTCACGCCTCGCTTTCCAATCCTAATTTGTCTGCTGATCATTGGGAGATACGGTTTTCACACCTCAGAATTGTCGAGGATGGGGGAGGGAATTTAAAATGGCAATCTCGGGAGAAGTTTTGAATTTTTATGCTTAAGAATCTGGCATTTCAGAATGCACGTAAGAGCGCTGTAGCTTTTTTGGAGAGTTGTCAAGATCAGTAAAAGTTCTATATTTGCACTCATATTGTTTTTAAGACCTTCCCAAAATTGGTTCGGAGAAGGGCGCAAACCAAAAAAATGAAGTCTCAGGTTCTAAGCTTGCATGCAATTTGGGATCCAAAGTTTAGTTCCCGATGCATAAACATTTTTTTACTTATTGAGGGACCCTAGACTTCCGTGCTCCTTTAAAGAATTTTCAGTTTTGCATTTATCATGTAAAAAAGAAAAGAAAAAACGCTACTTACAAGGGAACCACCTAAGGTCAAGGTGGCGCTTTGTTATGGGACCCAGCTTATTTTGTGCAGAATTTTTTTTCTGATTTCGAATCCGCTTTTATTTTTTTGCTAAATAGCCCAATTTAAAAAGTTATAGCGTTTCAAAGTTCCATTTTTTCCAAATTTTCGAACTTCAAAGTCATTTATCTTGCCTTTCCCGTTTGATTCCTCAAAAACGAATATCACCATCGTATTCAGAAAAATTTTCTCTATCGAATGAACTATTTAACTCAAAATTGTTGAAAATTGAAAAAATCGACGATACTTGGCATGGACTCCGTTTTTTGTATGGGAAATGGTGAAAAATTGCCTATTTCACACCCCCGTAAGTGATCGTCGATAGGTCGTAGCGCACTAATAAAATATACCAATCGAATCAGAAAAAAATTCTCTACAAGATAGGCTATTTAAAATGGATTGGCATATTAAAACAAAAAAGTTGGACATCGTGACAGATGACTTCCCGCGGGCACAGATCCTACTATATATAAAAAAATAGTGTCTGTGTGTGTGTGTGCCACTTTGCATCCACTTCCGTATCGTTGTTCCAGTCGTATCTCTATGTATAGGGGAAGAAGTTAGGGGTGGGTACGATACGTCATTATGTGCGTAATGGTCTAGGGATGACTGCCCACATATCAGTTTTATAAAAATCAGCCATTTTCGATATTAAATTTAAGTTTTTGTAAACCCTTCTTTGCTAGGAAAAATTAGCATGGACCGGAAGTAGGCAGTCGCCTATATAAAGGGTCACAAGCGAATCATTTTCATTTTTTGGTCATCTGAATTCAGCGCAATTATGCAAAGCGTAGAACAGCATGCGGTCCAAAACGGGGCCAGGGTTGAAAAGTCGCGAAGCGGCTTTTCAACCCTGGTATGACCTTAAAATCGCTATAACTTTTTAAATTGGGCTATTTAGCAAAAATTGAAAGCGGGTTCGGAATCAGCAAAAAATTCTACACAAAATAGGCTGGGTCCCATAACAAAACGTCACCTTGACCTTAGGTGGTTCCCTTGTTAGCTGCCGAATTTCTGTGAATTAAGTTTCAATTCCATTACGATGCTAAAAAAAATTCGGCTTTAATTCAAGCTATAATATAAAATACGCAATTAGTCCGCAAAAATCGCTTTTCAATCGCCAGCTCCACCTCCCGATTTGTGCTCATCCAACGCTTCGGAATGCAGAAAGTGCACCAGATCTCCAATCCACATCTCCACCGCCCCAACCACAAAGGAATTGGGCGCGACAAGAAGAAGGGTGCAGGTCGTTATTTCTCGGAATCGAGTCCTTCGGTGCTTTGGGGTGGGGGGATGCAGCGCGAAAAAAATCAACTCGACTCCACCTCCTAGCGGCGCGCGAAACGAGGGATTTTCGATCCGATTCACCGCAACAAAATGATACCCCTGAGGGGGTGAACGGCCGCCATTCGCCACACCTAATCCTGCTTCAGGGCTTGGGTGGAACGGGTGACCTTAGGGGAAATCATCGTTACGTTACGCTACGCTTCATTACATCACGGTTCTCGTTGAATTCGTTTCTTTCAGAGCTATGAATTTGCAGTTTTAGCAATTTTCTTTCTTGCTCAATAGGTGCAAAATACAATTTACAAAGTCCCCTTCAGATGCCAGTCACTGCGTCCGGTGCGGCGCTGCTCTTCTCCGGGGCCACCCTAATCATCTCCCTCCTTGCCGCCGCCAGCATCTACGGCGATGTAACAGAGCTATGGAAGGAGCTCGACACTGACATTGTAAGCTATTTTTAATATAATGAATATTATTATCGCACCACTTCAGGCGCGCTTCAAACTGGAAACCGACACAATGTGGTCGGACCTGGTCCAAATGGGCGCCGGCACCGCTTCCAACCGTCTTCGGCGCCAGACCCAAAATTATGGAGGATACGGAGCCACCGGGCAGCAGCACCAACCATCTGGTGGTTATGGTGGATACGGTAGATTCTAGTTTAATTTCGTATTAGAGGTGTTTTATAGGAGCTACCCCTGGCGGTGGACCCACCCCAAGCTTCTCCACCGATGAGCAGCCAGGCGGACCATCTGTTGGTGGGCCTCCTGATTGTGTGCCCGGAACTGGCGTTAATGGAGTGCCATGCCGCCCGAACTTCCCTGGATCTTTCGGAGGTATGTAAACCATCCCTAGCATTTACCTTCCTTTTTGAGACGCGATGTATATACAAAAATTAACACTTATTTAGGACCATTCACCGCTAGCGGCCGCCTCTGCCAATGTAACGCCCAGAACTCGTGCCCAGCCGGCCCCGCTGGGCCTGTCGGAGATGCTGGTCCGGATGGACTTGACGGTATTGATGGTCAGGATGGAAAGGTTGTTTAATCGCTGCTTTAACAAATTATCTTTATTTTAGGACGGCCAGGATGCTGATGATGTCCAACAACACGCAGCCACTGGATGCTTCAACTGCCCACAGGGACCCCCCGGACAGCAGGGACCTTCTGGATCACCTGGAATCCGAGGTGAGCTTCAGTTAAGGCCAACTATAGAAAAGACTTCGATCAGAATATACGATAAAAATAATCTTTAGGAATGCGCGGAGCTCGTGGTCAACCCGGATCACCTGGACGGGACGGTAATCCAGGAATGCCCGGAGAGATGGGAGGCACTGGAGCCCCTGGAGCTGATGGAAACCCTGGAGAACCTGGACCTAAGGGAGATGACGGTATTGTATCCATACTCACTTAACCTTTCTAATTCTAGCCGAGAAGCCGGTGGCCCGACAGGGTCCTCGCGGTATTCCGGGTGACGCTGGAGTCGAAGGACCAGCTGGAGATAAGGGACAAGATGCCCCTCAAGGCAAGGAAGGGCCCATTGGAGAGCCCGGAGTTCCTGGATACCAAGGAGCTGCTGGAGCTGATGGAGAGGTTCGTCATATCACCATGAGTTTTTAGCTTCTTGATTATAGGAGGGCCGCGAAGGACCCAGTGGATCTGTCGGCAAGGATGCCGAATATTGCCGTTGCCCGGAGCGTGAAAATGGCTTTGGAGCCGGAACTGGAAAGGCTGCCACGTTTGAAGATAGCCAGGGCGGACGTCAAGGAGGAAATAATGGATATGGAGGTGGTAAGTAATTCTTGGACATTTGACGACTAAAGCAGCTCAAAAATCCGAAATCAAGAAAAACTCGTATTAATTATGACCTGTCGTAATGCCAAGTCCTTATATTCTCGAAAATACGGTGACCTGAAAAGCGTAATGAGGAATTTGGCGTAGTTGATGCTGATCTTTAAACTCCGTAATTTTTACAAAATTGTGAATTAGTATAACTAGAGACTTTGCAATGTCACTAATTCTGCCCTCACTATCCTGACTCGAAGTTCTGTAATTCGGAATCAAGCTAAATTTTACTAGCTTTCTTATTCCACACTATCCACTCAATGACAGTCACCAAAACTTGAAGGCGAAAGCCGCGAACACTCACAATTCCGATCCGCCACTAATCACAGCTCTCCCCCACCCAATGCCTATCCCAGACTACCCTCAACCACCACTTTTTCAGTCCCGCCAAGAACCGGCTACCGACACATCTAAACACTCATCCAACCATCCACCGACACCTCTGATTACGTTCAATACAATTGATAAATACATATTTATCCACACATTAATGGTGAAGCGCATAAATCCATGTGTAAAAAGGTTTTAGACCACTATCCGATACACGTAAAAAATTTAGGAAGGGTTGTAATGCAATAGGAATAGTTGTAAGGCTAAGCCAAAACAATGTAAAATCTTTTTGCCATTTAGCATATTTGCTTTTTTCCGAAATTTTTCAACAAAATTTGACAAATCTGCAAAAATATATTAGTTTGTATCATAGCTCAAATGCAATATAAAGACGCTATGGCCAAAACAAGGTTAACGCATGAAAATTCGGACGTAAATTCTGTTTTCGATATTTTCGATATTTATAAATTTTAGAAGTCAACTTGATAGACGCCAAAAAATATTTGAATTAGAGCCCGCAATTATGCGCATTAAGATTTCAATGTAATAATAAGGTTCTTCATAAAACATATTTATTTACACATTAATTCGTAAAGCACTTGACGCAGGGCTGAGGTGGAGATAGAAGGGGAGGAATAAGCTCGAATAAAGAGACACATATGTGAATTTTCAGACAAAATTGCACTTTGGAGGCTGGAGAATTAGTGAAGAGAGATAAAACCCGCTAAAATTGTAAGAGTTCAAGGAATAGGTTTTAAAAAGGTTTAATTATTTGTCTAAATTGCTTTGGTTTTCATCTGGAGTGCCTCGGGAATAAGGGTTGGGCCCGGTTGGAGGGAATAGAAGAATGAGAGGATTGTGTCCTAAATTATTTAGTTACGTATAAAATTTAACCGTTCTAAAAAATTAGATTTAATTCTATCAGAATTTGTTTAAACTAATGATTTTTTTTTTATTCGAATTACCTGCAAATATGTAGGAAACACGCTGAGCGGAATAAAACAAAATATCGCATCCCAGCCAGTGTAGTAGCTGAATAAGAATAGTTGAAAGATTTTCATGGATTTACCGCATCCTGGGCCATCTGGAAAACAGTGCATGACAGTAGTTATCGACAACCCAGTCCAGATTTGGATTCGCCACGATGGAAACACCGGTGTGCCAAGCTTGTTTGACTGAAAATGGATATTGAAAAAGCTGCTAAATGTTGTAATTATTTTAATGTTATGTTTAAAGATTATTTAATTTGTTGTTAAAAATAACGTAAAAATCATTTGTAGAGGGCCAGTCAAAACATCAGGTAATAAAACTCACAATTCTCCTTGTAACTCTCGCCATATTCAACCTTTACAGATTCCGACAGCTTGTCCCAGATCTAAACTTATTTAGTTTTTATTTTCTGGCATCTTTCGATACCGTATCCACACGTCGATTCTGTGCATCCTCTGACAATAAATCGGTCTTGAACGCGCCTGGCTCAAGGATGTGCACCTAAAATAAAAGTATGCTAAAACTTATGAAAGTAGCTTTAACTTTGCTGTAAACAAAAATGAGCAATCTACCGAAACACCGAACTGGCGCATCTCAAGTCGGAGACAATCCATATAAGCTTCAACGGCGAATTTGGCCGTCACGTACGGGCCAACGAATAAGCCGTGGATACGCCCGGCCGATGAACCCATCGTCACGATTCGGCCCTAAACAGCTCTTTTAATACTATTTGAATATGTGCTGCAAATCAAACGATTAATATAGCGTAGTTGATTCCAATAAACCACTTACCCTTGAATGCTTGATGAGCGGCATAAATTTCTGGCACATCCTTACGGCCCCCAACGTGTTCACATCGAGTGAAAGCCTAAAATTTATAGTTTTATCTTTATTTTTTTGATTTCTTATAAAAATTGAATTGTCTAAATATTAGTTTTCCTCAGATCTCCCCAAAACATACTTGTATTCATCAACGCTACACCAGGCATCCGGGCCAAATATCGAAAATATCCCTGCGTTGTTGACGAGCCCCCAAAGGGACGCATTCTAAAATTTTCTTTCGGTTGTTTAGAAAATAACACTTATATGAATTGTAAGCAGTTATTAAATAAGTTTTAATAACTTACGTGCTCTGACAACACCTCGCGTACAGTCTTGTAGGCCTCATCCACCGACTCAGCCTTGGTAATATCCAATCGAATTGCGTGCAATTTTCCTCGATTTAGCGCTTTTGCTTCGGCTTCCAGGTCGGTTTTGCCCTAAATAATCGTAATAAAAATTAGGAGGTGATTGAATAATGTAGCCGGTTGGAAAACGGTTTTACCTTTTCGGTATAGCACCCGGCAAAAACATTAACATTTTTGGAAATTAGCCTCAATGCTGTTCGTCGTCCAAATCCGGAATCGCATCCGGTGACTAAAACCCATCTGAAATATGCGAATTTATTAAAGTATACTAGTTTATTGGCATTTCTAGTTATCAAAGAATCACTGCTCGCCTGCTTACGACTTTTAGACTTTTCTACCGTACCTGCCAGCACAGTTGACAAAAAGACGCTCCAAAAACAACCGCTTCAACAAGAAATACGCCACAAAACTAACAACGGCCACCATCCACCAATCGACACGAAATCTAAAGATCTAATTTTACAAAAATCTTGTGTCCCAACCTGTTCAGCCCTCCAAAATATTCCTCATAATGTTCGACATAATATGTGAACATTGTTGTGGAGTTTTTGAGAGTGGTGAGCATTGTGCTCAGCAATCTGAATTTATACAGTAGGGGCTGGACGGTATGAAGAAAGGCATCAAAGAAACAATGATGATAAAGCCAAAAAAATCGTGATAATTCAAGTGGAGAGCAAAAAATTGGAGGGTTGAGGTGAGTCAGCATTAGGGCCAGGCTTTAGTGGAGGGAGGAGAAGCTGGTGGTGAAATGTGATGACTTGCGCGAATGCAAGAAAATAGTTAAGAATAGGAGATCATTTCAAGAAGTGTATTTTTGTTATAGCCTCGTAAGGGTATAACTTATTTTTCCTCGTTAAGAATAAAAAAAGAAAAGAATGACTTCATTTTTGAAGCAGCTATAAATACAAAAAAATCTCCAAAAAAGCTTTTAATTTTAAATTGTGGATAAATGAAGATATTGTTTTTAGCTATTAACAAAAAAAACTAAAAAAAACGTCTTTTTAAGAACTGGGCCACTAAAAGCTCATTAAAAATAGAATAACAAGAAATCCCGTTTCTTAAAGCAGAATAAGTGCAACCTAGCTAGGCAAAAAATGATACAAAAAATTTCAAGAACTTTCCTTTTTTAAAGCTCTTGACAGTTTACCATTGTTCCAAGCCGCATAGGGCGTGCGAAAATACTTCCACCCGCTTTTCACATCTACATTTTTGTTATTGACCTTCGCCTCCTTCGCCTATTCTCAGAAATCATGACGAGTATCCCAAAAATACGGGACTTTCAAAGCGGAAGTACGTGGGAAACGGAGACGCGGAAAAAGAAGAGGGGGAAGGTGTCTGTCGGGGGCGGGAGGGGGACGCGGAATAGTTTCCGAATGGATGGACCATCCACATTGTGGTTCGGAACGGAGGGGGGGATGGGCCATGTTTGGTGCCCTACAGAATGTTTGTTTGGCCCCTCCTTCACCCGAACCGGGGGCGTTCGGGGGGTATAGAAGCTTCCCCTGCTGTTTATTTACTATGTAGGGTATCGCAGCTAGATGGTAGCATACTAGAAACTAAAATGTATAAAATAACTAAAAAATTCATCCGAAAACCGTCAAAGCTGAAAGTTTAAGTTAACTTGAATTACCAAGAAAACCTAGTTTTTGCTGTTTAAAGGGATGGTGCCAGCAAGACTAGGCGGATTCTAAATTAAGTTAATGTTATAAATTTTTATGTGGTTTTTATCTAAATTCCCGCAAGAAAACCCTGAGTTTCACACGTTCGTTGTGAGTTCTATCTTATTCTCTCTTAGATCCAATCATACCGCTGTTTTAAACTGATAGTGCCAGCAAGAAAAATCAAGGTTTTCACTAAAAGAATAATTTTGACATAATTTCCGCCTATTAAAAGAATAAATTATAAGACGCTAGTATTCCAGCCCGCAAAACCTGGGCCATAGGGTGAATCTTCAAACGAAAACCTAAGTTTTAATAAAACGATCTCTCGCCCCTCTCTACCATATCCTTCCTCTCTTCCCCATCTACGATCAAAATATTTACGATGACGAACCCATGGACAATGGCTAGACAGTCAACGAATATTGAAATGGCGCCGACTGGCCGCCAATCTATGAAACCAGTTTCCAAAAGTCAATAGTGCGTTGGGAAATTTGCTGATTTGCACGGAACTTCTAGAAGTTCGTGAAGTGGCTACAGTAACTAGAGCTGAATAAACAGAGCGTTTTGGGACTTTTGTGTCGTTAAAATACAAAATAACGTATTTGGAAGAAAATCATCCTGAGCAATCGAGGCCCGCGCGAACTTCGAGAAACGCGTGAGGTGGCTACAGTAGTTAAAATTATCTCCATAAAGAGATGTGGCTTTTTGCACCTCTAAAATTAAAAAATTACCGTAGGCTTTCTTCCATTTATTGTATGATTTTAGTAATACCAATCTATGTAAATAGTAGTTTTTCCAAAAGAGCGCTAGCCAACCGGAAATTCAAAAACCAAATTGACAAACGGCGAAACTAGCACGCGGAAAATTCCGGGTAGCGACGCAGGCCCCTAGCGAACCTTGTGCTGGATCAGGAAAGACCAGGTGTGCTAGGGCAAATAGAATCGAAAAAGATGAAAGAAGGCAACGGACTCTGTGCACCACAGAATACACTGGCAGAAAGGAAGGCTGATGCAACCCTTTCCATTCATTCACATACTTTCCTCAAATAACTGCCTAGAAGGGCACATTTTTGGAAATGATGAGAAAATATGTAGGGGCTCAAACTTTAATAACGCGTTTTTACGTGGAAAAGGCATTAAAAACGGTGTTACGCGTGATAATAGAAATCGGACGGGTTAAGCTTGATTTCCTTAGAGGTTCCTTGTAGCATGTCTGCCTTAAAATTATAGTATAAAAAGATGTAATCCGTTTTACTTACGGTAAACACTTTTAAAAGGAGGATGCATAACTAAAAAAATTGAGATCTTTTCTTTTCTGTCATTTAAGACAATTGGTTTTGCCAGATACCGCAACATGAGTGGTAAAATCAATAGCCAAAAACTTCACCTTAGTCACGCAAATCGTATTTAACTCACCCACTACAGTACTCCAAAATTTGGGATGGAATGTGCTACTGCCGATTTTTCAATTACTGGAGAAATATATGCATAGAGGGGCTACCCAGCCTTAAAGGGATGGTGTCTCGAGCTATCACAGCCAGAACCCTATGACCGAAGCGCACAAAATCGAGCTGAACGCCCGAACCCAACCACTGACTCCTCTAAACCCCGACCACTCCTCCTCCGCTACAGTATCACTCAATTTCGGTTTATATGGTTGTGAAGGAGGGTGAGACAAACAACTCCCGTCCCTCACTCCCTCCTCCCCCTCCTTCCCTCATCATCCTCCGATACCGACCAACAGCTCCAGCAGCACCCCACCAAAAAAAGAGGGGAATGCGAGGGTGGAAGGTGGCAATAATTTCCGAAAACAAACCAATCTGTCAACCCGCCACTCTTCCACCTCCCTTCAAACCCCCTTGTTTTCTTCTAGTCTCGCAGTGATGATGCGCTAAAAAATGGCTAGACGCGCAGAAAGGGTTCGCGGGGGTTGGGCGAACCATTGATCATATCAACTCGCAACATTATTTTCAGATTTTGGGTTATAGGTATCAAAAATCTGTGCTGTTTTTTGGGGGACATAATTTTCCTGTTCCCTAGATGCTTTATTATGAAAAAGGAGCTATTATAACAGCATTTTACGTGCTTTCACATCCCCCCTTAATGAATCAGAAACCACAAATCATCATGGAACATTGCAAACAACGGGGTTTTGCAAAAGATAAAATCGGTCATGGAATCCGGGTCGAACCTGAGTCGTACGCCTGGAAGCTAAAGCCAACTTATTGATCCAAGATGTTGAGTTTTTGAAGGCTTCCGCATCAAAAATCATTTGGAAACACTGAAATCAAAGTGATCTCCAAAAAGCAAAAAGCTGCCAGGGGCGGGAGTCGAACCTGGGTCATGCGTCTGAAAGCTAGAGCTTAACCATTCGGCCATGTTGTCAACTCCCCAGGCATGCCGGCCTACCGATCGTGCTTTTTTAAAGATCCTTGGGTGCCACTCTATAGCTAAATGATCATGTATATAAAAGCAGTAAGTACGTTTCTAAAGAGACTGTTCCTTGCTGATATTGCCCATCCCTTTAAGATGATTCTTCTGATAGCGGCTCGATCATGATCTTATGCTATGAAATACCGCTATAAAACGCCTACCATTCAGCATATTTCTAACAAGGAGACGTTTTTAGGTGGGCACGGAGTTTCGGAACGGGACCTAGCCTATCTTGTGCAGAATTTTTTGCTGATTAAAACGTACTTTGTAGAATTTGCGAAACGACCGGAAAAATAAAGTTATGAGGGTTTAAAGTGTGAAAAAGGCCAAAAATGGCCTACTTTCGGCACCTATAAAATATCGCAGAATAAGTTTCCACGAAAACTAATTAGTGCATCTTGCTCAGAAAATTACGCTTTTTCGAATCAGCCATCTCATTAAACAAGTTCGAACATTTTTTCAAAAAGATTAATTTAGACGACATGGTCCCCCATGTGAAATTTCAGCAATTTGCCGAAATTTTGAAATTTCCGCGTGACATGGCTCATTCGAAAGAGCGTAATTTTCTGAGCAAGATGCACTAATTAGTTTTCGTGGAAACTTATTCTGCTATATTTTATAGGTGCCGAAAGTAGGCCATTTTGGGCCTTTTTCACACTTTAAACCCTCATAACTTTATTTTTCCGGTCGTTTCGCAAATTCTACACAGTACGTTTTAATCAGCAAAAAATTCTGCACAAGATAGGCTAGGTCCCGTTGCGAAACTCCGTGCCCACCTAAAAACGTCTCCTTGTAAGTTATAGGGCAATTTCAAGGTTAAAAGTGATCACATTAAGTGTCAAATTGTAAGATAGGAGACGATAGATGTCATCAATCCTATAGCTTGCAAGTAATCCACCCGCAACCATGATTGTTGCTGAACTAGTTATTATACAACACAAGCGAATGGGCAGGGAGGTGCTGAAGGGGATCTGAGGGATGGCTGGTTGTAGGAGGAGGAGGTGGTGGTGGTGTGAAAGTGTGTGTCTCTGTCTGTTTCTCTCTGCTTATTGTATGTCTGTCTGTCCGCCCATCTGTCTCTCTGTATGTATATGTGTGTGTATACAGCCTCTAGGGGGTCACTCGGTCATCTTCCCTCATCCCATCCAAATGCATGTCCTCCACCCGGCATCCTCACGGCAATTACCTGTCCTTAAGAGGGGGATGTTGCTTATTGTGTGTCCTTTTTGACGGGTATTCAAGGGTGTTCTTCAGAAGGAGATGGTCAAACTAGGGGAAAAGTTTCAATTTCGTGTTATTGAATTTTTTTCACAGCTGCGTATTAATGAGGAACAAAAGGGAATTATGGTTATGCCATTAATGCATCTTCGCGTAAAGAGTTTTATGACAAGAGCAGCTCGATGGTGGTTTTCCTTACTGCATACCTTTCATCCCTTATAACTACTGCGGCCGGTGCACTAATGGCCATATACTCATAGACGCTATTTTATTCCGTATTTATTTAAAAAGATGTCTACGCTGACGGTGGGCTGCCCGCGAATTTACATGACATACTGTAAGCCGAATACATTTTTTAAGTTAGTATCAACTTGATAAAGTACCCTCAAACTAGAGATATAGACGCGATGTCCGTATCACATGCTAACCAGACATTGACAGACCGTACCCCCCTTTAAGTCCATAGCTACCACGGGATCTATTTAAAGTACTGCGCTGTACCTATAACTAAAAATCCAGAAAATAATAAATACAGCTCCCGCCGATCTGTTGCAAGCCTCACGATCAAACAAGGCAACGACCAGCTAAAGCGGGAGCCGAAAAAAACCGGCGCGCGGGATCAAGATCATCTCGAAGAAGGGGGGAGGGCGTGCACAAAAACGAATTCCCAGGAAACGAATCGGGTGCCCCCCCTCTTCCATTCCCCTCTATATACCAAGGGCCACCTAGATGGACAGCGTGTAGAACATACACACAAAAAGGAAAAAAAGAGAGATCGAGCTGCTTGGCGACACACAACCGTTCTTTCGCCTTGTCTGCTCGACTTTTTTCGCACCGACAATCTTCGCCTCAGATGCTAATCGCGGCTAGCAACCGTGGGGGTGAACGAGCTGGACGTTGACCTTGGACCTCCCCCTTCACACGGCTAGGCTGCTGCTCCTCAACCTCAAAACGGCGCAAAAAACTGTTCGTGCTCCCGGGCTTCCCGGGTTTTAATCAGGTGGGGGGGGCGGGGTGAAACACTCTGAAAAAATAGGCAAAAAGGGAGATAAATTTGCATCTAGCAACCAAAATGAGCAATGGGGGATAGATCTGTTCATTTTGTGATCATAAAACGTGAGAGCCAATTTGATACCGGCTCAAAAAAATGTTCGTGCTTCGTAACTTATTTTCATCCGACAGAATAAGTAGTTTTTCAGGTTTAAAGGAGCCGTGAAGCTTGAGGATAGCGGTTTTCTTGATCTTCGGGCCTTTCCATACTCCAATTTTACACTAGATAAGTTTAAGCGACCCAAAAGACCTTGATCCTTTCAAATCCTGCAACTCCTCTTTCAAAAACCCGCAGAAAAACTCCGGTTCCCCACAACCACCCGCCCCTCCACTACCGTATCCCTGAGCTGACCCGTCGAAAAAAGAGGAGCAAGATACCGATCTCGGGCGGCTAATTTAACCATGGGAACTACGAGAGCTACATGCTCAAAACAATCGTCACCGCCTTATTTTGTCGACGGTCCTGGCGGTCTGTAGGGATCTTTAGCGCAAAAAAGAGAGGAAAATTTATAAGGCACAAAAAGAGAGGGGGTTTGACACGTTTTTCGTTCGTCTTCTGCGTTGGATTTTTTACAGTGGGAGAAGCTCGGCGCTGGCCACAGCTCGGCCGACCTCATTTTCGCAGAGGACGGTGAATTGGCCTAAAAATTAAAACTGAAAAGACGAAATTAGAATGTCTTAATGAAAATTAATCTAAAACTTACCAAAATGGTATGGCTGAACGTAGGGGATGACAAGGCGGCAAATGTCGCAATTGTCCACAATCTCCACATCCGGGAATGTCATCTTATCATCGTTGAATAGCCAGCAAACCTAGAACTTAAAACTAAAATACATATAATTAATAATCAGTATTTATCGTCATTCAACAGCAAATTCATTAATTCAATTTGGCGCGATACTGTATGGCTAGCCCTAACGAGGAAAGTAGCGTTTTCCAGACGCTCGTTTTTACGATACGCTACTACGCTAAACCAGCTACGATACGATATCCAACTACCTTACGATCCTCTTTACGTTGTTGTTCTATGCGCTTTAATTTCTGATTTTTATTACATCGTTGAATTTTTCAGAGTAGGTTTTTAGGTTAGAGTAGGTAGTATTATGGATTTTGCTGGCTACGGAATTGATAGGCTTCTTGTCTCAATGGGGGGGGGGGCAACGCTTAGGTTATATTTACGCTACGCAATAGTTTAATCGGTTAGGCGATGAAAAGTTGAGCGTGCATTGCGTGTCGCGCGTGCCACCAATTTAATGTGAAGTCCATAGACATGCCTTTCCGACCCCTTTAACTGATCCTAAATAATCACATAGCTTGTTTTTCACCAACCTTGGGCCGCGGGCTACCCAACAACACACAATCAAAAACCGCTTTTCCTCCAACGTGCGTCCTGACATCTCCCATCACCTGAACCCAGTCCTTAGTCTTAAAGAATTCCTCAAAAAACACCTTCAAAAATTCTGGCGCGTAATTCCACGGGTTCTGTGCGTATTTGTTCTTCGGGATCTCGTAGGCCAGTTGGTTGACTTGCTAAAAACAATTTTTAAGGGATTGAGACAGCATGAACAAACCTTGGTGAGGGGGCTGCGCTGTGGGACTGGCCTGTAGATACCATCATCCAAGGTGTTCACATTTAGTTGTGAGGAGTAGGGCTGTTGGGGAGAGTAGCGGCTCATTTTGACCCTAAATTTAAACCGTATAAATTTAAAGAAAAAAGGAATTATATCAAAGTTTAGTTTGAGGACAAAACCAATTTTATCATGCTTAAAAAATTTCGGTAGTTGGAGGATATAAATTACCTTGAGATAATGAAAAACAAACGGAAGGTTGATTTAGCAGCTTCATGAAGTTATAGTGCCTATTTTCTAGATATATAATCATTTTCTATAACTTTGCTTAAACCAGTTCATCAAGAATTGTAAAATTTAATGTATAGCTAGGCAAAACTCAGCCTAAGATGTCCAAAGGCCAGGGCAGAAAGGTAATTTTCAACATTACTTCTCACAATTAATTATATAACCATTATTGAATGGAGATCCAAATTATCTATAATACAAAAACATTTATGAACGATCAGCAACCGTTCAAAATCAATAAAAAGTTTCGGGAGAGGACCCGGGGAGATCTTCGAGGTGGGTGACCCGAGTGGGTGGATGCTGCCAGCTTCTTCATCTTTTTTCCGAGTCTTCTTTGCTTTCTCTGCCCGCCTCTCTCTCTCTCTCTCTCTCTCTCTCTCTCTACCTATGACCGTCTTGATGGGGGCCCCCGCTCCTCCACGTGCAAATATTTCGCACGCAAAGCCCCCGCACGCCTCTTCTTCGTCGAACTGTTGGCCCAGGCGTGTTTCCAAGGGGGGAGATGGGGTCGCTGGAGGAATTAGTTCCGCGATTATAGATTATTAGGATTATAATATACATGTAATCAATAAACACGCGATCCTGGCCCCACCAAAGAGACATAAACCCTTTACTTTCGATAGTTATTCCTGAATCTCGATCAAAATAAAAATATTCCAAATCACGACAGGGGCGTACAAGTGCGTGTTTCAAACACAGACACTGTTTTTATATGTAGTAAGGTTTATGAAATCAATTTATTTGTTCTTTAAGCGAATTTTAATTGATCGGTGCGGTTTAATTAACGCCAGTGCTTATTTTTCCTCGTTCTTTGCCTGCTGGATTGGGATGGATCGAGACGAAGCGGTCTGAAAACAATTTTTATAATTACATTTTTGTGTAACACCACCTCTTCCAGATGTAATTTTGGGGCCGTAATGCAGAGTCGTCCGGAATCGGCCAGGTGCGATTTTAGCGCATCGATATCGCAGTCTTTCGGTACCAGATAGGATCTTTTAAAAGACCTGAAACTTACTAATTTTATTGACAAAATTCATAATAAAGTAATAAAAACTGGCTAACCTGGAGACCATTCCATGATCATCCGTTCTATCGTCGTGTCTGCCCTCAATTGTCAGACGACGACCGACAAGCGAAATCTAAGACAAAATGTTTATTTTTCTTCCATTCGTTGAAGAGGATGGTTTGATTTTGACTACCTTCAAATCTTCAGGTAAAAAGTTCCCGACAGCAAGCGAAACCATGAATTTCTCATTGTTATTCAGTACCTAAATTTCAATTGGTTTATCTAACATAGATGATTTACATGATCATCACGATCTTCTAGCTGTCGATTCGCCCAATAGGGTTGCCTGGCGACGCTAAAAATCATAATTAAAATGCGGATCGATTGAAAACAGAGGAAACTTCTCAAAAATTTTTATACCGTTGCTGCTCATCTTTGCGCTCAGCGTTTGGGTATCTGAAGTCGTAGTGGCGATGGCCGTCATGGATTTCGTAGTTGAAATGCGAATTGAGTGCCATTTTGGGATCTTAAATCAATTATTTAGTTAATAAATTACAGCATGAGGATTCATAGAGGATTAGGCAAAATGATCATTAAAATAATATAGATCGACGGAAATACTGTAATCGAAGGTCAAATTCATCGATTTTGGCAAATCGCGATTCCAAACACCTTAAATTGCTTTAACTGTATGCACAAAACATACACCAAACTACTCTCTACATTTTTAAGATTTTATATGCAATTTAGACAGGCGTATTAACAGGGAAGCCTCTAATTCCTCAACTAGCCCGAAACTATTAGTCCGGCGGGAAAGGTTTTTAATAGGACGCCAAATATTAGAAAAATACGGTATTTAAACGAATAAAGTCATCTTTAGATTTCACAGCCTACAATCAGACAGCCCAGTTGGAAAGCGACTGTCCAAAGCGGGGGGCAGCTTGGGAGGAAAGTCGGCGCCATAACAGAATGACTAATTTTTTGGTGAGGGGCAACAGGAATTCCGGAAATTGTTGGGCTTGTGACTCGTCCTCCTGGTTGCCCACTCTGCCAGATTGCGGGGAGGCTATTGCTTTTGGTATGTAAAAAATGGTCGGGTTGGACACTAACGCACTTTTTAGTGGTTAGAACATTGAAACGCCATGGATAATTTGACTATAATACTTAATTGTGGCGTTAGTTTCCTGTTAACCTATAATTATAGAGGTTACGCTGCATTTGGATACACAGATCTTATAATAGAAAAACACTCTTTATATATACTACTTAAAAGTTACTGCCAATAAGACCGACAGTTCTACACTAAAAATTCTATGGTCCGTATTTCGGATCAAGTTTTTGGGCGCAGAACCATTGAATCCAATTAATTAAAAAAACTGCGTAACCATAAGCACTAAATAAATGGCTACGATGAAAGATTGAATTCGTCAAGGTAGCAAACGTATTTTTATTTTTCTACCTCCTTGGAACCGGCCCCTTCCGGTCACTTTTTAATCTCTCGCCGACCTTGACTGACCTCTAAAACCTCTCTAAAAGACCTCAGCAACATTCCCCCCACCCCCGTCTACCCACCCTTAATTTGATCAACAACGACACAATCCAACCCGAACGTCTAGACCCCCTTTGCCCCCTGGGAATCAGTACAAAAGGCAAGAGCAACAAAATTACGGAGATGCCGCCTGGCTAAACAACGAATAGAAATGACTTTGCATTTAGATGGTGCAGCATTGAATGGAAAGCGGATGGATGCACAACTCCCCCCTGGGCCCCCCACCAACCACGAAAACAACATCTGAAAAGGGCAGCGCTGGCCCGGGTGCTGTGCTCGGAGCCAACGCCTCGTGCCCCGCCCGGGCGTAAACAACCCAGCCTCGCAGAGGTGAGCCGAGTTGGCTGGACATGATAGGGCCAATTAGGTAGTCGAGAAAACGATGTTTTCCTCGGAATATTTGGGGGGGAAAGGATCGAAGAATGCTAGTGGAAATACAAGAATAGCTTATTTAAAAGGGATCGTAAAAGTAAAATTAATAATTTTGGTATTCAAATATCAATAGTTTAATAAAGTCCGAATCTCACCTTCGTATTTTTTATTATTTTTATAAATAATTGACTCAATTAATTTTACATTAGCGATTGGAAAAGTGAGGAAGTTATTTTAACGGACAATGGCAGTAAAGCGGCCACTTTGGACCTAACATCCTACCGAATTTACATAAAATCAAATTTCTAACTTCCTGATTTTGCATTTTGTGATTCGAACACATTGCACTTGTTTAAATTTAAAATTTTTTCATTAAGTTTTACCTTTCTAAAAAACCTATTTTAGGTTGAAAGATTGTGAAAGATTGCTACTATAACGATAAACTTTATAATTAACTTAGCAAGACATGTATTCATAAAATTAACGCTAGAATATCAGCTAATTGGCATAAATATTTTTGTCGTTTGTTGTTTTGTCAATCTCTAACGTAAATTTCTCCACATCCAGATCTCAAATGTGGTATATCTTTACTTTACTGTACCTTTTCTTTTTCTTCTGTTACATTTTCTTTTTGGTGTTGACAAGGACAACATTTCTAAGCACGCCTTGTTTATTGCCGAACTTAAAATTATCGACGAGTTGATGGCTTCACAGCCGAATTGGGGGCCGGAAAGGGAAGATAAACAGAAAGTGCGGCGAGATCAGGAAAACAAGGACGTGTCGAAATTGTGGTGTGTGGAGGGGGTGCAATTGGGGTGGGTGGGTGCGGGATATACATTAGAAAACTGGGTTTGATTTTCGGGTGGTCGGTCGTGGGTTCAGTTCTTGACTTGGTAGGGGCCACGGGGCTGGATTGGGATAGGGCGCGAGTTGCTCTGAAAATTAATAATATATTTCAGAGACATGTCAAAAAAAAATAAAAAAAATGACATACTACTATTGCAATTAAGAGTGATCGTAATTTGAAAATTCACGTCTAGCCGTCTAATGTAACTGCCCGCGTCCCTTTAAACTGACCCCAATAGCTCCCTTCTTCGGAGCCTCAATAGTCAGCTTTCCATCGTTGGAAAGGTACGAAGCCACATGGTCCACCTCGCAGTCTTCCGGCAGCATGTAAGCGCGCTTGAACGAGCTGAAGCACAGATTTTATAAAATTTCGATCATGGTAATAAATCGATAATTAAACTTATAACCCTACCGCTGAATCGAGCCGTGGTTATCGCTGCGCTCTTCATGATGTCCCTCAACCATCAGCCGGTTTCCTTCGATGTTGACCTAAACTTAAAAATAATTCTAAAAAATTTAAATTATTTAACTTATTTTCAAAAGTTTAGTAACTTTTACCTTCACTTCTTCCGGGCGGAAGTGGGTCACGTCGATGTCGACGGCGAATTTCTCCTTGTCATTGCGGACCTGAAAATTATGGCTATATAGAAATTACCACGTAATGGATCGATACAGCTCAGAAAATTTTAAAAATTACATTTCCAACGGCATTGCCGATGTCGAGGTGGCGGTTGTGCGGAACAGCCGACCAGTAAGGGGTCATAACCATTCTAAAATATTTACGTAACAACTTTAGTTCATGTAACAAGTATATTCAAAAATTGAACGAAAAATATACCGCTCAAAGCGATCGAACGGGTCCATGGAGTCATGGTAGCGCGGGTGGTATCCACCGTAGTGATGCGGGAGAAGGGCCATTTTCTAAAATACTCAAGCATAATAAACTTTTTTTGTTATTCTAAAACACAATTAGAAAGTAAATTAGATATACACGCTCATTAAAATTAATTGACAGGTTAGAAAAACCGGATTCCTATATAAAGCCGCATTTTTAAGATGATAATAGAAAAATTTGTAAACTACAATCCAATAAAACATCAATAAAACCAGGAATATATTTCCTGGTTGCCCAATTGTTGTGCAGTGGGGGGGGCCGAGGGGCTAGAGCTGTGGATTGTGGGTTGGTGGTTGTTTTTGTGTGTATGTGTCTCTGTGTAGGTGTCCCTCCTGGTTTTGTCCCTCTCTCCGTCCGTGTTCATGTGCTGAAATGGGCGGGGCTAGGGCAGCAGAAAGTGCATCTGCAGCCGAGGGCCGAGGGCCGTGGGGCCGTAAACATGTTGTCGTGGTCCTTTCAGAAGGCCCACCCGCGGAGAGAGGGCTAAAATAGAAGCATGAGGTACGTATTCTGATTGGCACGTTAGACGCTTCTAGAAGGAGATGGGTGTCAATTAATTTGAAGGTGTAAATAGGTAAAAGAGAGAAATAAATAGAATGAAGAGAGAGAGAGAGAGAGAGAGAGAGAGAGAGCGAGAGAGAGAGAAAGAGAGAGAAGGCTAGCTGAATAACTAAAGAACGAGAGAACGGTAAAGTGAGAGAGTAAACGTGAGAGCGGAAGGACGAGAAAAATCGAGCTCAAGAGAACCTGGGCGAGAGAGCACGAGAACGAGAAATCGATCTCACTTCAGCAAACTAGAGAGCCAAACTTAAAGCGAGAGAAAGCTAGACTAAGAAAGAGCGAGAGAGAGAGAGAGAGAGAGAGAGAGAGAGAGAGAGAGAGAGAGAGAGAGAGAGACGGAGCAGATCGAGAATCATTTTAAGTCGAACATTTAATACACCAACATTAATTTCCTTCCCAGCTTCCTCCTCTTTTATTCCCTCGCCGCTCCAAAGAACGACAAACAAACCTACCCCCAGAACAGGAAATTCCGTGCAGCCGCCCACAAAACATGAGAAATCGCAGCCCCCGAGCCTGCAAACGTAAACAACTCGTTTTTTCCTCTGGCCTCCCCTGCAGATAAGCCGATTTCATGTGGTCACACAAGAAAATGCTATTATTTCCATCTTTATAAATCTTGGACATCGAGGGACTATAATAGGAATCGGATTTTTAGGTCGAAAATGCAAATTCAAATGTTTTGAAAGCAAGAAATCAGATGGTATTATTCAAATCTCAAATCTAATTTGCATCCGCCTAATCAAATCTGACGGTTTGATTTGAATAAGGTTTCAGCACTTCAAATGAAATCGATTTGATTTGGACTTTCGAGGTTTGAGTTCAAATCTGAAGATTTGAACGAGGATTTGAAAGGAGTCGAAAAAATCAATAGCTCATTACGTGGATGCTAATTGTATGATGGTATGCATAATAAAGGTCATTTCCGGTTCGCGACAGCTCGGCCATAGCGACTTGCTTATGTTTTGCATGCCGGCATCTCCATAAGATTTGATTAAGGACCGGAAGCTTAATCAAATCCTCGAGATTTGATTTGAACTCGCCCACGGGATTTCAAATCAAATCCGCCGATTTGAAATTGAAATTTTTGCCTTCAAATATTCAGATTTGAGCTCTCAGATTTGAGTCAAGATTTGATTTGAATAACCCCATCACTAGTGTAGGTAAAGCAAATTCACAGTGAGAACAAAAAGGTAAGAAAATCAAAGTAAAATCACTTAAACATTTCCTCCTAATAATTCCTCAATGAAAAAGCTTGGTCTTCTTGGCTGCGGGGTGGTTTCGGGTGTCAGGTAAGGGTTGTGTACCTAAATTGGAAATATTTTTATAGATAATTTTTGTTCACAAAAATACAGGAAAATCTTTTGAAAAATTACCGGATTCTTAGCAGGAGTAGTCGCTTCTGTTGGAGGAATTGGGGAAGTAGCAGATGCTTCGGATTCTGGTTGATCGTCGGGCTTCATTTGTCGTTCCTCGTTCATCACCGTACCAAAGCATGTTCGGAACCAGAATTTCATTTCTTCTTTGGCTTCCCTTGTCAGGACGAGGACCTGTAAGGGATTAGATGGAGAGGTAATAGATGGTATCCTGGATGTCACGGTCCCTTTAAAGGGCGACTAGTGACAGGGTTTGGACGCAAACGGTGCGTCGCATTTCACCAAAGCCAAAGCAGTTGCGAGAGAGCGAGAGATAGCGAGAGAGATAGCGAGAGATAGCGAGAGAGAGAGAGAAAGGGTGAGAGAGTGAGCCAGTGACTGAGCGAGAGAGTGTAGTGAGACCGCGCGATAGAAAGAGCGAGAGAGAGAACATTGTACGTATTTGAAGTTTTTGATAAAACTTTAGCAACTTGCTGCTGTGTGTGCATTGTTTCTTCATGGGGATATGGATCTCCGGCTCATTGCGTGCGGTCGATGCCCTCCAAGTCTCTTTAAGAGAAAATTGAATAACAATTACATTACCGGGGTTTCAGCTTTTTACCGAGGCCACGGTCGAAAATAACAAACCATTATAAGTACTTGGAAGGTAAGGGATTTTTTGAAAACATACCTCAGCATTGGAACCGGGGTGCTTGCGTTCAATATGCGAAATGACGTGATGCTTATCGTAGACAGAACCATGCGGGCATAGCGGACATCGGTAAAGCAACGTCCTCAGGTGACGCTTGACAATGTGGCGACGTGGGCCTAAATTAGAGCTTTACAGTATCACTCCCGAATTTGATACCTTGGCTCCTCCGCCCGGCTGTCTTCAGCGACTCCTTGCAGAGCCTGCAGTAGTCGTTTTTGGACCTAAAACGCGGGGTTGAGCTGTGTTAACTATGTTGCATCCTTAAATATAAAAAATTAAACAAAAAGATTACCTTGTTCTTGCTGAATCCGATGTTTCGGGAGTTGTCCTAGCTTCCGGGAACGGCGAAACCTTGGTATGCGTAGGTTTCAAGGGGCCACGCGGGACTTGTTGCTGGAAAAAGAATAAATGTTAGGTTACACGTATTTCGACGGTTAGTATGGAGAAGCCTAGGTTCATACTTAAGCCTACGTCTAAGCCTAAGCTTGCTTAAGTATAAGCTGATGCCGCTTCAGAATTTAAAGCCAATTAGCATAAACTTACGCCTCCAAAAATAGGTGTATATTTCGGGATCGTCAGGCTCGGGCTGGAGTAGTTGGTTGGTAGGCCATAGCTTGTCTAAATTAAATCATTATAAGCAATTTAATAATATATCGAAGCACTCTATCTTTTGAATGTCTGATCAAAAATTACCACTAGCTTTGGGGATCCGGAAAACTGCGGTGATACCGGGCTGGGTAGCGTATATTGAGGAAGACGGTAGTTCTAAACAATAAATATATTCACTATTATACCAGGGTTGAAAAACCGCTTCGCGGCTTTTCAACCCTGGCCCCGTCTAGGATTTATGAAAATTTGCATAATTCTTGCCGAAAAACGATGACCAAAAAATGAAAACCACCCCTCCCTTCCTTTTTATAAACCATTTCCACTTCCGGCGTATGCTAATTTTTCCCTAACAAAGAGGCAAGCCAAGATTTTTACAAAAACCTAATTTTAATAGCGAAAATAGCAATTTTTCGAAGATTTTCTGTGTGTGCAGTCGATTCCAGCTCCTTCTTTACCCTATGACGTTTCTTCCCTACCGAAAAAATGCTTCCCTGAGGCTGTAGGTGCGGAACATCCAAACGGAAGTGCATGCAAATATACACACACACACACACACAAACACTATTTTTTTATATATAGTAGGATATGACACCTTAATATAACTCGCAAAAACTTACCAATGGATAGTTAGTAAACCCAAGATACTGCTCCATATTTAGTAAAGATTAAATAATCGGCTGAAGATGGGAGTCGAGGAATGGAGGGGAGCGGAATACTGATACTTCAAAACCTCCAGGAAATAGCTAGTATCGAGCAGATATTTATCGAAAACCACACCCCTTTTCTTTAATTTCTATTGGATGCAGGTGTGCTGTGATAGTGGGCCCCCGAGCCCTATAGTGGCATCATAAGCATTAATGCGCGCGTAATTTTCGGGAATCAGGGCATTTTTGCTGGGAATGGGCAGTGGGGACTTCTGTTCGAATAGCCCCAGGGTACCATAGGGCTTTAGGGCATAATGGAGTGGATTTAAATTTGGAATCTGCCTCCTGGGTTGACATCAATATTTCAGATCATGGGTTTTAGGAAGGGAATAGCTTTCTTAGGTTAAATACCGTGCAAAAATGAGGATGGCTAAATTTTCGATTTTACGATCAGTTATATATAAAAAATTATATATCAATAACGTTTTCATCATACCTTTTGTTCAGTCTTAGGATCGTCAAAAAGGGTTTTATTTTGCGTATCGCGACTTCCTCTAAATTAAACTTAAAAAATCCAAGTGATGTACCACACTTACTTATAACCCTGACCTTGTTTATGAGTCTTACAATTTTAAAGGGAATTGGAAGGCAAGGTTCTTTACTTTGGCTCCTCTAGCTTTTAAAACTGAGCATACCATGTTGAATTCTCTCTTGTTTATCTAATACGTTCTGAAAATAATTTTAATTCATTTTCGAACCCGGTGACTTAGAAATAATTAATTGGTTAAACTACTTTTCATACCCTATTTTTTTTAGTTTCTCTCCCTTTCTGTCGCCCCAATTAATCAAACCAAATAAGAGGCCAGATGGGGTTGGGTGAGGGGTTGTGTGTTGTTTTAGAAGATGAGCCTTCTTCTCGCTCTATTGGGGGCAATATTTATTTGGGGATCGGCTTTTTCAGAGGATTTGCCGGCTTCGGCCAGATCGACGGTCCTTCGAGGGTAAATAGGCAAATAGTGGACCGTATAAGGTGCTAGATCTTGACCCTTGGGCTCCCTTATAAAGCCCGCGCTTCGTTGGATACGGTTAATTGGGTGTGGTTTAGAGTTTTAGGGGTTTAAAGAGTATTGGAAAGTACATTAAGTATTTTTTTAATACAGAGAAAATAACATTACTGTATAGCCTATTAAAAATAGGGAAGCCAAGGATAATTCAGTGGCGAAATTGGGGTAAACGAGAGCATTTGTATTTTTTTAGTTCTGTGCAAATTTTCCACCATTTTTGTTTGAAAAAAACTTTATTCGTTATAATATTTATGCGAAGAAAAAGCTACACAACCGATCAATAGGACAGATGAGGGACTGATGGATGGGGGCCAAGAAATTCAAACCAAAAACGCGAAAGAACATTGTCAAAATACTTTGCGTGACTAAACGACATGGGATGTAGACTTTGGTGCACAATTTGGAGCGTATTTTAAATGTTTAAAATGACAATTAATGTAAAAAATTTTACATATATGGGAACTGAAGGAAGGAGGGAAATCACACCGAACGCGCACAATGCTCAATATCTCTGGGTCTGGGGTATTCAATAAAGTGAAGGGCAGCAAGGAGGGGATTGAAAGCCGGAAAATTTATAGGAATTACAGGATACAAAATTGGTTTATGAATATTATTATTCTTTGAGCAGAATATAGAAAACGGGGGTTACGGTGGGTAATATATGGATTGGGTGATGGATGGCCAACCGTAGGAAAGGCGAGAAGCTGGGCCAGAAGGGGATGGGATGATGCTGAAATTGGAAAATATAGAATTGTTATCTTAATAGCATTTTCTATTTAAAAATGCTGTAAATTTATCCCTCCTTGATTTTCAAATATCAAAAATGCACGATTTTTCATTCCTTTTCCATATCCTGTTTTTCTATTTGCAAATTACTTAAATTTAAATCCCTGGTTTTTTTTAAGTAAAACCTTCCCCTTTTAAATTTTCCCCCTGTCATTTCCATGCGCCTACGCTACGTCACTGTACGCCTCTTGACATCTCGGGGTGTCAACGAAATTGGAACCTCTATAGCCTCTCAATCCGGATCCAGGCACTCAGCTTCGGCAAATACAAACAAACACGCGGTATTCAAAATATTTTTTTTTGGATTTTTTACAGATTCCAATTTAAATTAAGTCTATCTATTAATGTACTTATAAAATTGATTGGCTGCTAAGGTATGAATATTAGGTTACAAAACATTTGGTATTTAACTGGTATTTACATTCTTGCCTTTAATCCAGGCCAAATTTTAATGATTGCGCAGGATTTATTAAAGGTGGTATTTATGCATGGCTAAGGATTTCCCTAGCTTTGGATTCCAAGGATTCTGCTGTGCGTGCGATTGTGCTCCACTCTCCGTTTGAAGGAGCAAGCAAGTCATAGCTAGGAATGCCGAAGTCAAAATTTAGCGACAAATTCTGACCTCCCTTACCCTTTAAAGGTATCGTGAAGCCCTGCTCCCATCTAGTCCACCCACCATCTGTCGATAAATAAGGGGGGTGTTGGCGGTTCCGGGGTTGGGGGCTTAGTGGCCCATCGGCCCCCCACAACCAAGACGAAGGGTATTCCCCCGGCCCTAATTCAGCCATCCAGCTGATCCTAGAAAGGGCAGGGCAGGGCAGGGGAGGAAGCCCCTGAAGACGGTAATGCAAAGTGCATAGGGCCAGGAGGGGGGCCGCTTCCGCCATAAACATGCCCCCAGGGCACAAACATGTCAGCCACTCGCTCTCAAACCATTAGACTGCACGAACGGGCTAATTTCCTCAATATTTCTGGGTTGAGCCGAGTTAGTGGATCGATGGGCTTGGGGAAATTTGGTAAAGGTTGGTTAACGGGGGGAACAGAGGTCGAAACGTTTTTTTTTGTATTTTATTGGATTACAGCCTCAAAAAGTTAAATAAACTGCCGTAATGCATAATCGCCAAACAATAATATTGACTTAATACAAAACAAAGATAGCAACAAAAACGTTATCGCTTAATAATATAAATTTTTAACTCCAAAATCTCAATCGAACCCAATTTTAAACCACCCTATCAAATTCTCAGGACCTTATACATATGGCCAAAGTTCTTAAGGCCCAACCGCGAAACCCCCAGCACCTCAATTATTAGCCCCCTCCCACCTCTTCAAACTTTGGATGAATTGAAGGGCTCCCCCTCCTCCCCATGACACCAGATGGCTCCCCCACCCTCCAACCAATTCCAATTATTTGCCCCATCTTTAAATAGACCCCAAAATCTAGATACCTCCCCTCAAAACCTCCAACAAATCGCTCAAAGCCACCCCCTAATTTTGGGGTGCTGACGTAATCGATCCCCCAGCGGTCGGGCGGGACCGTCCACAGTATCCATTACCGGATTTATACCATCTGGCAGCTGATGGTCAACTGGGCTTAGATTGCAAATTGTTAAGTATCTGGGAGGTGAGGTAGGTTAAGGTAGAGACGTGACGTTACGTTACACGTTACACCCTACGTTATGCTCGCCACTATACGTTAGGTTGGACATACGTCACGTTATACATCAAACCTTACTCTGGATATACGTTACGCTACGATTGCTACGCTACGTTACGCTACGATATACGTTGTACCTTACGCTAGATATACGTTACGTTGTACACTATACGTTACGCTGGATACACATTACGTCGGCTTTAACTTAATTAATATGTAAAACCCAAAAATAGAATGCCGAGCGCAAAAAAGAAATTTTGCTTGTTCCAAAGCCATTTTTAAGTAAACTTTGAATCCAAGTTAGACTGAACCTGAGTGGAATAACACTCGTATAACCGTATACTTAAGGTAACACTTACCGTAATCAGGGTTGTTTGAGGGTTACATCTTGGAATTATGATGATTTAGATGAGCAGCAAGAAGACGGACGCCGCCCAGCCGAGGAATGAGTAGATTTGGCCTGAAAAAATATTGTAAAGCGTATCTCAGCTTTTCTTGTTTAATAAAGTATAGGGTAGATTTTTGGGTCCACCTCCCTTCCAACCCCCGTTAAAACATTTTCCACTTCATCCAACCTTTAACCTCTTCCCCCAATGCACTGCGTCGTAATTACCCGGATCAGCAATGTGGCCTCCTCCCGAATACCTCGTAGGGTTCATTAGAGTGGAAAACACCTGGCCCGGGATATGCTCATTTCATATCTAGAGGTGTTTAGGGCCTCTCCCTGCCCCAGATCGACCCCTTTACCCACCCGATCTCATGCCCCCTCACCCTCCGACCCGGATTACCGATCATTAGCCCGGTCCGGATTACGGTTTCGGGACAGCTGGCTCACCTAGTGAGCTTGTTCTCTGGCTCTCTCTCTCTCTCTCTCTCTCTCTCTCTTTCTCTGTCACACATGCCACCTTTGGACATGGGAACCTGGCGGAACTTTAGTGGGTTGTGATTTGAACCCTGGGAAGGGTTGGGTCAGAGTAATCGATTTTTAGGGATATTCCTAAGGGATCACTGCTAGCTAGCCTTGTCGATAGAATATATACTAAAGTAAAATTAAGATTTATATCCTTAAATTTTTATAAATGCGGTTTTTGGACAGTAAGGTACTCTCGGAACTAGGCAAACTTTAAATTCAAAGTCTAATTTTCCTAAAAATCTTAACAAAACAAAAAGTAATTATTAAAACAGAAGCGCCCCCAACCCCAATAAAATATGTTTTTCAGTTGCCCTTCCGGCTGGTCGTTAGAGGGTTCTGTCGGGGGGTTGAGGGTCAGCCGGCTGAAAGGCGGCTGGCTGAATGGGCTATTATCCTAATACATGGTATCCAGCCCGCCGTGTCATGATGCCTGTAATCTCAGCGGTCTTATGTTTTGATCTTTTGCTACCCTTTTGCAACAACAAACATACGAGGTATTTTTAGAGGTATGTAAAGCAAAAAACGGAGATCGAGATGAGGGTAAATATCAGAATTTATTCAAAGTTTCAATTTATTCAAAATTTATTGAAGGCAGGCTAACTAGCATGAATTGTTTAGGAGTAACGCTAAAATCTATTTCTCTAAAATAATCCAATGAACTCTAATCTTTCCAATGAACCAAATCACAGTCGAGTTCCTTTAAAGTGTAAAGATCCTGTCAAGGCGCCTTTAAAATTAAAATACGAACCCCTCGACCACCCTGCACTAATTCCTATATAACGAATATAATTCGTGCCCTCGGGTGCCATTCCCATTTTCGGCATTCCGTGACTCAGTCCCGTGCATAGCTCGCCACGGCAATTTCACCCGCTGGTCCTCTACCAACCACCCCAAAAAGGGAAGACGGAAACGTCCAGAAGCGGGGAGGTCGTGTCATTTTTCTGCAGCCCCCCCCCCCGGGTCCTGCCAAGAAATGTATAGAGGTTTCCTGTGTTGGGCCGTTCGTTCAGCCAGCCCCCCCCCCATACCCAACACTGGTGCTTGGCGGTAATTATTCTGGAGAGGTCGAGAAGGGGGAGAAGGAGGAGGAGAAGGGCAGAGGAGGGGGAGATCGAATTCTCGATGAGCCGCTAATTAAAGGCACAATGGGCGCTGAAACGGGCCGCCGGTTGAAAACGAGCGCTTTACGCGGATCCGTTGGTCGCTCTCAATTCTGCGGTAGAGTCGGGAGAATTGAATGACTTTAGTAATGGGTCGTAAAAATTTTGCACTTTCGTTTAATGGAAGGGCGGATGGAATAGGAATAGCGAAATTTTTCGCGAAGATCTGTTGAGAATAACTAAACGAAATATTAAACATTGAAAACTGTAAAATTCCGCTTTTTTTAAATGCCAAAAACCTTCAAGACCCAAAATCTTTAAAAGTAGAAAACAAAATAATTTAATTTTGCAGCGCGCCTGCTGTAACTAGTATTTTAACACACGCCAAACTAGAAAAAGTTTGCCGCTGCGAACTTGCCAATCCCTTAAAAACCCAAAGATTTTCCGAAAACTTGACAGAAATAGTTTAATTTCACAACTCTGCTTGTTGTAAATAGTAGCCTTGAGTACCATATCCACAAAAATTCGCGACTTAGCCTTCCGGTTTCTTTAAGTCCCCAAAACCCTTCTAAAAATTCGATCTCCCCACCATGCAACCATTTTTTCAAACGTCTACCACCCTGCCCCGAAACCCCCATTCATCGTGCTGAGATGCCCTTATTAGATTGGAAGCCGGTCGGAAAAATGGAGCCCTTGCGTGAAAAAAGGGTCCCATTGAGGGCCCACCACATAGCCCAAGAAAAGGCCCAGGGTGTGCCGTTTCGCCTAATGGAATTTACGAGCCCAGGGGGCATCCGGGGGGATCTAGCTAGAAAGAGAGCGAGATTTGGCACCGGATGGGCTCGGGTTTTTATGACGTTAAATTCGGATTCTTCAGGCCCATTTAAAGGGGCGGGGGGTGGAAGCCCGATTGAAGAGGGCAAACGGGTCGTCTATTGATCTTTGGTCCAACGGGGGTTTTGGTGGGTTGAAATGAGAGATATATGTTGGTAATCGGGCCGAATCGCAGACGCTAGGAAAATTCAATGGCGCCGTTATGTCCTTGCGTCTTTAAAGGCAGCGTATCAGGCCGACTCACCCGATAATTACAAAAATTGATGTTACATCTATGTACTAAATTACCGTTAGGCGCTGCCTTAACAGCGGATACAGTAGTTGGCGGCATTGTGGTGGTGATCATAGCCGTACAGTTGGAGAGGAAGCATCGCTTTTCGACAACCTCGTTCTGAAAATTGATAATTAATGGAGTTTCTATGCTACGAACTACGACAAAATACGAAAAAACTATACAAAATCTAAACCGACCTTGTCGCTATCATAAACGCAGTTCCTGTCCAGAAGCTGGCATTTATCTCCATTGTCCCTATCATTCTGGCAGCATTCTTCGAAAACCTGAAAAAAGCGTTAAGATACAGAATATTAATCTCTATTATATTCATTTAGATTACTTATTGCTCTTAAGCGCTTTAAAGTTTTGTTTGGCTACGCCAGAAAACCAAGAACGCACTAGCGGAACCCATCCTAGCGACTCCCCAGAGAGTATCAATCCCAACGACATTTATGGGTTTTTCGGGGGTTCACATAAGAAGTCTCTTTTTTTCTACTAAAACTATTGATTCTTTATATTTCTTGAGTATTGAAATATTATGTATAGTACCGAAAAACAGCTAAATCTTACCATGCAGTATTGTTCCTTTGAGTAGCGTGCGAGCCGGTGGCACTTTTCCGACCAGTCTCGGGTTGTAGGATCCCAGGCATCCTAAAAAATGGTAAATATTGGTTGTACTATTATTTGTTTTAAAGTTACTATAACTTAAAGCTAGTTATTGAAGCTTACTTCGGATTGCCTCTTCTCAACGGCAACGGCCAGGGATACGGTGGCGATGGCAGCGAGGATGATGGCCGATTGTCTCATTGTTATACTGAAATAGATGTATAATAGAAATATAACCAATTTAAGAGTAGTGAAAATATAGTAAACATGGAGAATGAAAAATAAAGCTTTTATAGGGGACAGTCATCAAATCAAAAATTGAGCTGCGAGCCGAAGAGGATTAGATGAGTCACGATTATCATGGCCAGTTTTTGGAAGCTTTTCTTCGTCACAATAGCATGCTGAAAGGTATTAAAACTGAGTTAAATTTAAGCTTTAAGTTTTTAGGGTAAATTTTTCTCAAACACCAAAAATAGCCAGCCACTCGCATCGTAACGCCGAAATAGCTGTTGCTTTCTACTCTTCTACTGCTTTCTACTCTTCTACTTGCGAAATCCGGGACCCTTAAAGGGTGCAAAAACAGGATAAGAGAAGGAAACGCCTGAAAAGACTTCGGGGGGAGAAGCCGAGGGAGGGTGGTTGTGTGTCTGAAGGAGGGCAGTGTCTTCTTCTCAAATGCAATTTGGCCCTCGTCCAACCCGGCAAGGCTCCACCCACCCCACCAGAATCATCGCCACGTACTCGCACTTCCAGGAAGCTAACTAACAACATAGTATAATATTAAAGGAGGATATGGAATATCTATCTTCAGCCGGAAATGAAATTTTAAGAGTAGGGCTAAGGGCGCGCTAGAAAACAATCATCTTTAATTTTGAAAAACCAACCTGCTATCGTTCTGCAAAAACTGAAAAAGTTATCATGCCAGTTTTTCACGAGCTTTCGAATGAGCTAGTTCTCGTTTGATAGCTCGATGTACATCTAAAACTTCTGCGGTAAGCGTATGTAAGTTAAGTGTTTATTAACTTTAAATTTTTAGATACCCGCCGTAATTGATCTATCATGATAAATCCTGATGGTCTCTGATCAACTATCCCAACCCACCAAACCTCAAAGTCACAAAATGTTCCAGCCATCGCTCTTCGCACCTATTTGACCTCCATCTATCCGAAACCGCCAAGCAAAATCAAACACAACTTCCCTCCAGACTAACCGTCAAATACAAACAAAACCACTAAATAATCAAAAAACTAGAAAACGGAGCACCAGCCCCTTTCGATGATGGCCTTCCGTGCATGACCAAGGGCATGATTTCGAAAGAAAAAAGCTGGGCTTGGCTGAAAACAGAAAGGAGCCTTTCTAGGGGGACCTCCGAGTTCGGGCTCGGGTCGGCACATCAGCCCAATTTGCGAGTCAAATGCGCTTTTTTCGAGACACGACCGCCGGAAAATGGCTGTGGGCTCACGAGGGGTGGGCCAGGACGCTGGATTTTTGGCCACGGAAGGTTGAAGGCAAAAAAATGGCGCGTGTTTTAGGGTTTGTGGTTTTGGGCGGGCAAGGGTTGAAAGTATCAGGTTGGACCGAAAGTAATTACAATATTTCGGACGCAAAAAATTTATGGAAACAGCCATCCTATCTTTTCCATATTTTAGCATGATCGAGGGTCAAGTATGAACTTCCTGCACGCCCGATTTGAACTTCCAACCTTTGCTACTTTTGAAGTTATGAGGCAAATACGCTGCGCGTTGTAATTTTCGCTCATTTTTGGTTTCGTAAAAATTTTGTCCGTGAATGAGGCCACAGTTACCTGAATAATTAATCGCAAATAGAGCAGCAGTAATACTATACAATGTATCGAACAAAATTTAAATAGATGGTCTCATACATTTTTCCTGATCGATTTAGAAAGATGTCAAATTGGGATTTCGGGGCCCAAAATGACAAATCCCTTCGTCGGCCGTTTTCTCCGAATTTGGTGGCTAATTTTTTGAGAGTTTTTATCGATATGTAGCTTAGTTATAACTGTTTCAAACGCGTATATTGCCTAGGGACAAATCTTTTATACCGAGCTGCAGAAAAGATCAACCCCTGATTTTCCAACACAATTTTGTTTCGGTATTCACAGAGTGAACAAATGGGTTTGGGGGCAATGATAATTTCAGTTCCTTATCTACTGTTGCTGCGTAATTGCCGTACTATGACGAAAAAATTTGATCGGCAAGGACTAAAGAATAAAAAGCAAAATTTAATGACGATGCCAGATTCCGTGTCGGTTACTCGACGTTACAATACGTTGCTAAATTTTTCCCGTGAAAGCAGGGCGGTTTGATAAATATTGTTTACACGGTGTTCCCAACTAAATGTTTTCCAAAATAGGTGGAGCGCTTTTACATTCGCTGTCGTAATTGGATCGTTAAGCCCCTTTTCATCAGACTCATCCCGAATCGGGATTTTGTTCCGTACTATAGACAATAACGACGGGCTCTACAGTTGTTTGGTGAATTAGGCACCATAGCTAGAAAGGTATGATAATGGCGTTATAAACCGCCAATTATTCGGGCAGGATTCTGACGTTAGAAATTTTCATAAGGCTGAAAGGGCAGAGGGCTCGCGGATGTCGCCGTGTCGGGTCAACCAGTGTCTCAAGGAGAACCGGTCATAGAAAAATAAATACAGGCTAGATTGACTAAATATTTTTATGTGCTATAGTAGCATCTTAGACTGAAATATCGGTGCAAAAATTCCGGCGGCCGGGTGATAAATGTTTTTACAAAACCGGCTTGAAGATCGTTTGTAAAGACTTTCGGTCCAGCCTGATATCTCTGCTAGCCCACAATATTTAACGATGTTAAACGTTTCGCAAAAAATCCTAAAGAATTTCTGCTAGCTCATACACCTAAAAAACCTTTTTTTACGAAGTCGATGGTTTATAGATTATTTCTCGCAGAAATGAATTCCGCTCTTCGGTGAAGCCGAGAGCTTTCTAAAAATCTTCGCTAGTTTCCCTCGGCAAAAAGTACCAAAAAGCTATTGACAACTAAAAAACTCGAAACTGTGCCATCGAACCGAAGGGCCCAACGATAATCCCCTTCAAAACCAGAAATATTGAAAACAGGATTTGAAAGGCGGCCCCCCCAGTCGATCCCCGGTTTTTCAGGATTTATGAATGCGTGTCGATGGATTTCATTTCATTTCCACGTTCCGCCCCATCCGACATTCCCCTTCCCCCATCCTAGGTCCGTCCATTTCAGGATTAATCCTGGGCACCGTGGGCCATGGCTGGAGGAGGGGGGATTGGAACCCACAAACGGAAACCGAAAAGAGACGGCCCACCACGGGAAATGAGGGTATTGAACCCAAGAATCTTGGAATGGCCCCGGCTGAACCACGGGAAATGTAGGGGAGAGCCGCATACAAAAAAAACCTGTTATACGAGTGCCCTTTTGGCTCATTTTTTGTGGGGACTATAATCCAGGGAGGGCAGAAACGTGGCCAGGGGGTGCTGGCCGGGCTGGGCTGGCGAGTAATTTGGCTAATTTGGGTAATATACTGGGGAGTCTAGGGGGTGCGGGAAAGCTTATGGAGTTGTTGTTCCGGGCGGAGATTTATGAGGATCAAGATTTTGGTCTCGGCTGGGTCGAGGAGGAGGGAGGAAATTAAAGGGAAGGTGACAGGAGTGCGCATTGGTAGGTAGCATATTTACACATTTTAAAACGTTGCATTAATGGTTTTAGAGAGCAACATATTTATGTGATATAAATAGCAACATATCCGAACGCTTAAAAATGTGCCATATGGAAAGCCAAAGGAAAAATTATCATATACATGCATTAATTTTTTATTTTTAGGTTCACGATCAATTCATTAAAACGCAGATTCATATATTACTACATATGCACCTATTTACGCATCGAGATTGGGGCAACGAGAGAGATCGAAACGCCCAATTCTTATTCTTATAGTTATCTTTATTGGAGGAGCCTTTTAGCTGTCAAAAAAAAACAAGTCAAGTTCCAACCTAAAACCGACGCTTAAATCCCAATCCAGTCCTATTTACTCCTTTTTTTCCGTCCAAAAACCAGAGAATGTAAAGAAATATCAAATGACACCGCAAAAGTGGAGCCTTTCAGAATAACAACTACACTGCAAGACTAAACACCATAAACAGCAACCCGAGATCCGGTGAAGCTAGTTATAAGCAGCCAGAATTGGGATGAAGCCCTCTCCGTAGATGACTACTATAGTCGGATGGGACGGGAGGCCGTTCGAATCGCTCATCGAAGCTTCCAACCCCCCGCCCTGGTCCACTCCCTCTACACGCCCCGAAAGTTCGGCCGGGGGAACCCGGGGTAATTATTGGCAGGCCGACTGATGAAACATTCAACTCAACCACCACCACTACGAAGAGGGGACACATACACATACACACACACTCACTTCAGATATACTAGAGGCAGAAAGGAAGCAAGAAGCAGGCACATAACTTCTGAATAAGATAGAAGGGTTGAAGGGGTGGGATAGTTAGAAGGAGAGTAGTTTTTCGGAAATACATACAAAAAACATACTATAAGGTAATGAAATCAAGGGATTTCAAAGTTATCTAAACTTTTGAGCTCCCTGAAACAAAAATACATGTTGTTCGATCGAGTTAGCTTTAAAACACAAGCTTAAATGCCCCTTTAAATTGTTCTATAGCCTCGAACTTGGCTAAAAATTTTTAAATTAAGATGAAAATACATTTCAAGAACTTTACCTAAGAATTTCGAAATCGAAGTGTTCCAAAACTCCAATTTTTTGATAATTCTAATTTTCTAGAGTTTAAAAATCCGTACAGTTGACTAAAATTTAATCAATCAAATGTGAAAGAATAATAGGCTCTACCTATTCGATAAACCAAATATCAAAGTAATATTACTTCAAAAATACTTCAATACTTCAAAAATCCCAACTTCAATAACCCATAACAAGCTTTCAAAATATTTCGATCAGCCCTATTTAGTGCCCCCAATTTCACGGGGGGAACACAGCCACTTATGCAATATGGCTCTTCACTTATTCATGAAAAATGCTCGGCCCAGCCACCAAAAACCCCAAACAACCGAAGTGTGGCGGCTATTTGGACAGCCGGCAAGCGGGAGTTCCACTGAAATCCGCTCGGCTCACAAAATTATTTACTCCGCCCACCGACAGCGTCTGGTTGGCCG